TGCTCATGTACCCTCTGGTAAACTAACATAGCTATTGAAAATGGCCATTTATAGTGGATTTTCCCATTAAAAATGGTGATTTTCCATAGCTATGTTAAATTACCAGAGGGTATCTCATGTCCACGTGTTGTGAGCCACTTGGAATTCCCTCCCGGCCACCAGCACCAAACTTGGTGCTGAGTTCGTTTGGACAAGGCCTCATTTGCTCACGCAATTGCTGAATTTACTGGCGCAGTGTGGAAACTCAAGACACAGAGGGGTTGATCTATTAGAAACGCGCTGAAATATGGATGCCAATGTGCCAAAATGATGGCTCAACTTCGCTTTCCAAACCACGGGGGGAGTCATGTGTGTCGTCTTGGCACGGGGTTTGTTGATAGAAATGAGCCAATTTACTGGAGGGTCACATGTTTCTGGTGCCATCCGACTCTAAGTCGTCCTCGCCATTCCCTGCTGCTCTCGGACTTGGGCGCGTTGCTTCCTGGGTCGGGGGGCTGAACGGAAACAGCCCTGAAATTTGGGGGTTTCTTAAAATGGGGGTACCCCTTTATCGCTGGATGATTTGTAATGGAACATCCTATTGAAATGGATGATTTGGTGGTACCCCCATGACTTAGGAAACCTCCATTTAATCCCTGTTGATGGCTTATTTCATGGGGGATGTCACGAGTTAACCATCATTTACAGGGTTTCAACAACCAAAAAAGGTGATATCATTGACAAATGAGGTTATATTGTTAGGGGGTCAAGCATAACATTCTGGGGTTTTGAATATAACATATATTGGGATATAATTGATGAATCATGCTTATTGTTAAAAGGCTTTGGTTACCTGCTTTATTCGGGATTATGAACTAACCCGCAATAGTAATTAACATTGGGATGGCTATAGGGATATTTTTCATGGCTGAATTGGTTTATCGGGTTTTTTCCGCATCTGGAACTATTGCACATGGTTTCGCAGTTGACTGCAGGGTACCAGCGTTTTGATTCAATAGGAATGAAGGGGATATGATCTACCAAAATCAAAAGTGACGATATGAACATATATGAACCATCCGAACATGGGGATACGAGTCCGCCGCAATGGTTGAACTCTGCGAATCGAAATCGGCAGCGCTGCTGTTTTTCAATACCTCCTCAACAAGCAAAACTTTGCACCGGTGAAGACATATCACAAGCTTTGACTTTTGGAACTATCATGAAACCATAGCATTATATAAATCCCTTAATGTGAGAAACCCAATGCCATGAACCTACCATTTGGGGATCAGGAATCTTCGACAGGGCGTGAAGGAGAAGGGAGGTCTCAGGAGCCAGTGAGAAGTGGTTTTTCGTTGTGTCCAAATGGAGGGGTCTAACCCTAAAATAATCCAATGATACCCCCAAAATGGTGGGTTTTTGCATAGGAAAACCATTGGTTTGCAGGTCCCCTAGTTTAAATTAAGGAGACCTCCAAATCGCACTCTACTTTGGCCGACTGGTTTTTTCTTGTGTCAATGAAGTTGGAAGTCAACTCCTGAAATACAGAGTCACGATCAAAAGGCACTCTATGGCATTTGAATTTTGCACAAACGAAAAATCAATATCAGTTGGCGTTCCTCCTTACAGGTCTTACAGTTCCAGCCAGCACCGCTGTGCCCATCTAGCTGGATCAAGACGCGGGAGGACCATTTTTCAGGAAACGGCACAGAACTTCTGGTCCCCTATGGTCCCCTCATCAGCCCCCGAAAACCAAGCGCAGGCATTAAGTGTGCCATCCTGGGTGGTCACATATTACGATCTCCAGGTTTGACCGCTGAAACCACAGTTTTGGGGCTTATGCCGGCTCCACCCGAGACGCCTGGCAGATGGTGCCTAGGCTGCAAGGATCTGCAAGGCTGACCTTTGTTTTTGTGTGGCACATGGTGATTTCCGGAGGCTCTTAAAGGTGTCTCAGATGTTGGTTTCTGATGTGGGTATGGATCAATACCTATTAATACCATTTTTAGTGGGATGAACATCCATTTACCAGCTATTTTGGGGTTCACTAGGTACCAGGGTTTTGACCCATCCCCATGTTCTAGATGCCGAAGGTAGCTGATCAAGATGTGAGTAACCGACAAAATTATTGTACTGATTTAGTCTTGCTTAGCCTTGGCCCGTCCGAGGTTGCACAAAACCTTCATATCTGTCATAACCGATGGGGCACGACCCTATACCGATACCCCATTTGTGATACCTCCGGGAATACTGAAATCCTCACAACCGATAGGGGACGACCCTAATTTGTGCATGGCATTAGATTTAACGTAATTTTGTCCGCTATTCATGTGCAGAGATCCCCTGCGAATCCCTGCGACGCTTTTCCTCACAATCGCGCTGCAATCAGAATTCCTCCTAATATGGACTACTTTACGTTGCTACTGGTTCTGTCACCGTCTCTGGTGGTGATCTTCCATAAAATACTCAAGGATTTCCCATCATTTTCCCATCATTTTTGACCGATTTCTGGTGTTTCCCTCGTTTTTTTCCGTTGAACAACGGGCGGGGCAGCGCTGAGGCTGCGCTGTGCCCCGGTGTGCGAGGGCGATGGCAGGCTACAGAGTCTAGCGACCTTGGAGGCGTCATCATGATGGGAATTCTCTCAGGTTTCCAGCCCCAAAAAAGGGTGGATTTTGGGAATGGGATGTAGATAATGTCAACCCCGGATTAATAAACCTCTAGGCTGTTTAATTGGGGGGTACCATTTAAGTATCATATTATGACTATTGGAGGAGTACCCCCCTAATTAATAAACCATGGTTTATTAATCCGGGGTTGACCATTATAGTATGATTTATTATAATGGTATAGACATGTATCGACTATAACATGAAATATTTGGATAATATTTGGTTTTGATGGGATATCACCAATGGTATAGTGGGATATACTGTCGATCTCCCCTATAGAAATGGGGAGTTGACCCCCCCGTTGAAGAGGAGGATTGGGCCCATGAGCATGAAAAACTTCACTGGGATATAATATATATATATAATTATATATATATGTATGTATATACATACGATTAATATATATTTATTTATATATATATAAATTCCAACTGGTGTTCCATCCAACATTGGAGATCTAACCATTAAAATGGAGGATTTCACCGAGGAATGTAGCCTCAGAGGTTTCCCCTGGGAGGATGAGAATTGACGCCATCATATGCCATTATTTGTTAGCACGGGTATGGGTTGAACAATGGGCTACCAATTGACCAAAAAAATAAGATTTCGCCAACTGTGTTCGTATTTTTCGGTGCTTCCACGATGGATTTTCTTTTTTATTGGAGATTCCAACAGTTTATGGATATGTTTTGAGGGTTTGGATCCACAGTTCATCCAAACTCCTCATCCAAAATCCATGTGCCGTGGGCATTCCCAATTTCATGGTGGAATGGCCATAACTGCCATAACCCATATCATATCCTCATGTTTGAGTACATATCCCATATATCTCCCATATCAGATCCCCATTATTCTTCGATCCCATATGTTTTACCCATGGCAAGTGATCCTCAGGGTACATTTTGTCCTCTGGTAAACATACAAAAAGCTATTGAACGTGGCCCATTTATAGTGGATTTCGCCATTAGAAATGGTGATTTACCCTCTGGTAAACTAACATAGCTATTGAAAATGGCCATTTATAGTGGATTTACCCATTAAACATGGTGATTTTCCATAGCTTGATTTCGCCATTCAGAAAGTGGTGATTTTCCATAGTTCCATCCTTGAGGATGGCTGTGATCCGTTCAGGAGCAGCTGGAAGATTCATTTGGGCTCCTCAAACAGTCCCTGGCAAAGGTGAGGATTTCTCCCACCCAGAGAGATGCATGGCAACTGGGATGGTGAGCCAACACAACTATAGAATATCACCATGAATTTCATGGTAATTCATGTTTAAATCAACCATAGATATGGGCCATTTTTGAACATGGCCATGATAGTTTACCAGAGGGTAATGACCAAACTAACTTAATGTGAAGTGAAGTGGGATTATATACTGTAACCATCAAATGAATTCAAATGAACTGAATCAATGCATGTGAAGTGAGATTGCCTTGATGCCAAGTCCTACAGCAGTACACCATATGATGGTTTCCATAAATGGGGGTACCCGGGGTAACCCCCAATCATCAGTTTTTCAAACAGGATTTTCCACTATAAACCATCATTTGGGGGATCCCCATTTATGGGAACCCCCATATGAAACAAAACGTGTTTGGGGCCTGGGTCCAGCGAAAATCGGTAGGTTCGGAAAGAAATTGACACGACAAGCCTTGAGCCTCACATCTCAACAAGGAGGTGCCTTTTTTTGCGATCAAGAGATGGACAATGGGGTGACAGGGTTTACATGGGTTTACACCATATGTCACACATACATGTTGTAGATTATACATTATGGTATAACATATAGTGTCACACACACATAATATATATATATATATTATATATATGTATGTATACACAGACACATGATCTCCGTTTCACTAATTGGTGGTTTCAAGTTTTTTGGTTTTCAACCATACTGTGGGATAGATAAACAAAGGACGATCTGATTTCATTTCTAGCCGCGGCCCTTTGGTTTCCAAAAAAAGGATGGGAACATGTACAGGGAATCCCCGGAAATATGCCAAGTTCCCAAGAACTCAGCAGTTGAGACGCCCTGCTGGCAGTGTGTTCGTGGACCCTGGAGTGGCGCGAGAGCTGGAGGGTAACTTTAGTGTCTTGGCATGTCTTGGCATGTCTTGGGCCGATGATTTTTTTCCGGTCAAAACATGCGAATCTTGGGATAAACCGTTTTGAAGCATATGTAGTTGTGTGTCATCCAGCTTTCGGCTTGGTACATCTTGGTACCCATTTTTAATAGGTCAGCATTCCAGATATGAACTGAGGATGGGCTTCACCACCTTTTTCATAGGGATTGATACATGAAATTCAGAGACGCACGATATCTTCTCCAAGCCACAAATGGCTGCAACTTCTTCATGTGGGCGTGCCAGAGGCAATGATGGTCCCTCAATCACCTTGAAGACCAAACTAGAGGACTGGGGCAGGGCTGATCACGAAGCGCGGAGGTCGGGAATGGCATACGAACTCATGACATATTATGAAAGCCAAGGTAAGGATGGATATGATCTCTGTTTGCCCTGGGGTAACATGGTTCCCGCTTTCGAATGGTGTTCGACCATGTTTGACCTGCATTTCCACTGCATTTCTGATGACTTGCACCATGTTGAATGGACTCGTGCCTGGCAACCGATCTATTTTTTATCACTTCATGGCTGGCCGACTGGCTTTGTTTTCTCCAAGAATTTGTCAACCGGAAGCTGACTTGACATCATTTGACACGCTTTGCAACTGGTTTGGCGACGCTGATCGAATTGACGGTGACTTCGAGGTACCCTCGGCTCTGTTGAAAGCTCGAATTCACCTCAAGGACGGCCTGGATGCTGAAGCCTGGGGTGAGGGCGATTGTGGAAACAATCCACGTGGCTTTGTCCCTTGTCCAAAGATACCCACAAATCAAGATAGACATGGAACATCCTCCACTTATTTAGATCATTTCCGAAACAAAACACGGGATATTCCATATGTGGACACATATATATATATGTATATAATATATATATATATATGTATATATATATGTATATATATGTATATATATATGTATATATATATGTGTATATATATATGTATATATATATATAGATATATATCAATATAGCTGGCTAATGGGGCACGCGATTTGCAAACCGCTGGGATTTTGCGGGCAACATCGATTCAACTCCTGCAGGATTTTGCCAGCCGTTCTGTCTCCATGGCTGGAGATCGTGCGGGCTGTATGGGACAAGCGGTCGATTTGGTGATGCTGAACACGGGCCAGCAACCGTAGCTTAGCTGAAAGGTCGTAGCTGGTAGCTGCAAGGTAGCTGGTAGCTGATGGGCAGCTGAAAGGTTCGATCCCTGGCTTCAAATTTTGGGAGAATTTGGAGAGGCAAGTGAGAATTTGAAAGGTGAGGAGAGTGAAGCTTAAATAGCCTATCTCCTTGGTCAGCAGATGCCCTAGGCTCCGATTGCACGGCCGGTGGATGGAGATGGTTAACCGGGGCAACTTGTTTCAAGCAACGAAAGGACCTTGGACCTTGAACCTGGACTAAACGTCCCTGGCATGATTTGATTCACTTTGATTCTCTGCGAGTTGCTTGGATTGCTTGGGAGCTAGCGGTTCGGAGCTATGGCTTATCTAATGTTATCTATGGATATCCATATATATCCATCTTCCATATTAAATGGATAAATGGGGAGCTACTCGGAGCTACTAAGGGTTTCCCGCCCGCAAGGTCTGATGGGCCCCAAACTGATCCTTTTCATTTTTGGGTGAACAGAGTGAACCCCAAATGTGCCAAACGTGTCCAGATGTGGCTGGTTCTTACCGCACAGTGCCCTTCAATTTGTGTTCTGAAGATCCCTCGAACTTGCTTGTGCCTGGTGAGGTAATCAGATGCTAGCAGGGATGGGAATCGGAAGAAAGAAGGGAAAGAGGCTGATAGGACCGCCTGGGAAAGAGGGCATCTGATAGCACAGATACTTTAAGAACTTTGAGGAAGAAACACCCAGAGGGTTGCTGGCCTCAGGAGGTGCAATGGCAGAGGCCGATGCTCACGGAGTGGCAATGCGGTCTCTTCATGCATTTTGTGACGCAAAAAAGATCCGTGGTAAACCTAAGTCAACCTCATATCTATGCACAGAATCTGTACACATATTCAATCTATCTCAATATTCATCTTATATGTCCATATATGTCCCATGTTGGGAGATTGTCCATGAAAAGGGCTTCATTATGGTTTATTCATATATATATGTATATATATATATATCTATGTATACACCTAAAGATTTCCATGGCACGGGATGACCACCAACCCCACCTGGCACCCAGCTGGCACTAGGTTGAGAAGGCGAAGCAGGATGACGACGACTTGTCGGAAGTCGTTCGACCGAACGATGGCAAGAATTTGCTGTTTCTTGGCACTGCGCTTAGATCATTTTAGATCTGCTGTTAAAATCATGCTAGTAAAGCAATGTCATAAACAACCCATATTTTGATGGTTTGTACCACCCATTTATGGTAGATTTGAGAATTGTTTGCTATTGCTTTACTAAAATTAGTCTTGGTGCAGGGTAGGTAGCTAGGGGATAAAGTTAACAAATGCTGGGGATGATGAGCCAAGAGACATCAGAAAGCATGACTGGCTGTTTGAGGTCATTTCTGACTTGCTGCTGATAAAATGGCACTTTCAGGGGGTATTAATAAAATAACCTATGATATATTAATATCTTATATATCGCATCTAGATTTAAAGGATCATCGAAGGAAGTTTAGAAGTCAAACTTCCGACAATATGGACAGATGAAAAGCAGAGATGGGAAGAGTCAGCGAAGAGAAGAGAAGGAGAAAGACGATCAAAAAAGAGAAAGCCTCAGAAGAAAGAAGATCCAGGTGCGCGAAAAGGTAGGAAAGCCGCGAAACATTATGTTTTTTTTCCAATGATTTGTCGAAAAGTAGGCTCGCTAAAGCGGCGGGTGCGGAGCCCGCTGGGCAGATGAGAGATGAAAAATTGCACGCTGTTGTGGCGCGAAGCACATTTCGAAGTCAAAATGTACAAAGCACAGCAGGTCCGGACCACTTTTGGAAGTTGAGATGTCGAAAAAGTGCACGCCGTTGTGGCGCGAAGCACATTTCGAAGTCAAAAGTGCAAAAAACTGACGGGTTCAGAGAACTTTTGGAAGTTGAGATGTCGAAAAAGTGCACGCCGTTGTGGCGCGAAGCACATTTCGAAGTCAACAGGTTAAAAACACCACATGGTCGGACCACTTTTGGAGGTTCAGATGTCGTTTCGCGTGGCAGGCGCAAGGGATTGTGCACCTTGTCAAAGTGATTTTTGTGGTCCGACAGATTCATTCAGTTCGATGTAGTTTCTGAAAACATTTGAGAATATTTAAGAATATCTTTTGATGTTGGGGGGAAATGGGGGGACAATACAGGTTGGAGACCCCAGAGGTCTAAACTGTTCTTAGCCGTTGAGGGTCTAAAGTGTTCCTAGCCAGCGAACATGTTACCAGAAACACCATGCCGAGCCCTGGAGCCGGAACCCTAGGAAAACCTACAGTCCCTGGCTTGTACCTGAAGGTATGCTACAGCTACAAATACTAATTTACTACGCTACAATACACTAAAACTAATTACACTTCACTACGCTAATTACATCTAATTACGCTACACTACACGAATTACACTAACAACTACAACAACAACTACTGCCACAACTACAACTACAATTACATCTACACTACACTACACTACACTACACTAATTACACTGCAGCACACTACAACGTACTACAGCTACAAATACAACGGCAACTACAACCACACCACATTACACAACACTTACACTACACTGATTACATTGCAATACACTACAACTGCCGTGGCAGCTGCAACTGCAGCTACAACTACTACTACAACTACCACTACATTACATTACATTACATTACATTACGCTACACTACACTACACGACGCGAAACGACACTACGCTACACTAATTACACTGCACTACGCTACAACTACAACTACACTACCTTACACTAGACTACACTACACTATACCACACTACACTACACAACACTACACGACATTTCATTGCAATACGCTACACTGATTACACCACACCACGACTACAACTGCAACTGCACTTGCAACTACACTAATTACACTACATTACGACTACAACTCCACTCCACTACACTACATCCAGCAGTTGTGGTAAGGTGACCACTGCAACCATTGCAACCAGGCCAAAAAACACAACTCCAAACACCTGTCGGTCCATCAGTGGATTCGCTCTGCCATCCGTGATTCACAACAACCAACCTCTCCTATAGGTTTCCTATTTTTGAAACTTCCGCCACCGCCTTGTGCGGTACTACTGGTATAACATACTTGCAAACAAACATTTTCCATTCTGTTTGGTTTTTAGTTCCTGCGAGAAACATGACACACTGCATGTGGACTAGCAATTCCTGGGTTTCAGACCCGGGCAGCTCGCCACATGAACTCCCGAAGGTTGCCGCACCAAAAATTTCGCCTGATTTGGGACATGGCAGGCTCCCGCAGCCCGTGTCTTCTTTGCTAAAGGGCAAAAACAGTCAATGAAAACACCGTGGTTTTATGAAAAAAAATGGCCCTCAGGATCGCAACAGGCAGTCATGGCAGTCATGTTTTTTTCTTGTTGTTGCGGGTTTCGCAGGTCTCCTCCTGATTTTGGTGGATGCGGTCCTGCTTCCCCTGAGCTTAGCCTGGGATGTCGGCATAGAGCCGACCGACAACGTTGTAGGACCCATACCCACACCAATCTGGGAATAGCGATGACATGTGGATGATTGGAAGGGGACACCTTTGAGATTTTCTCGCAGCGTTTGCAGGAACCTGGATCAATTGTTTCTCTTTCTTTCTAGCGCTGATTTTCTGGAGCACCGACGTCACTCGGCAGATAGGAGCCTGAACCACAGAGTGTTCAGAAGGGCATGATTTCAGGGGATTGATTTGACCAAAACTTCACAGGAAACTATATTCATTTAAATCCAAGAACTTCTTGTAAAGTTTTCCTGGACCAAATTCTGAGAACTTCGAGAAATTGAAGGGTTTTTGCAAAGTTCATTCAAGACTTGAGCAATGTTCAAAACCATTCAAAACCCTTATTGGTTGATGATTGGTTCGGGGATTCTACATCCCCCTGGGAAATACCTGTGCAAACTCAGGGGAGTTGAGCTCCAGAAACCCTATCATTTTATACAGGGGGGTCGGGGTAGGGGTCCACTGGTTGGGCTTCTGACTTTATACTTGGCTCAGGGTGTCAAACTCGATCCCAGGTGTAGGGGTTCAAACTTTGTACCATGCTGAAATGCACCCTGAAATCAAGCCCTTGTGCCAATCTATCCAGTGTGAGTCCTGGGGCCCCTGATTATATATATATATATATTAAACTAATTTGTTTGTCCAGGCCGATATAGATTCACTAACTAATTTGTTTCAACTATTATAGATTAAATGAATATATATATATAGTCCACGGCCGATCCTGGCGTGCTCGACAGAAGCAACCAGGCCGGCAACGGTGACCTTGTAGGGATAAGATGTGGCAGGGCCGCCTTTAACTTTGGTGCCAAGGCAGTAGCAACTTTGTCAATGCCAACCACATCCACGCATGACGCACACACACATTTGCTATGAAAACAGATCTATCGACATGAACTTGTCATGTGGCTTGCATGCACATCTGCTACTAATATATTCAGGGACTGTACCCCCCAATCTCACTAGCTCGAACCTCGCCGACCATAAAGCTTGAGCTGTAAAATGAGGGACTGAATACTCCTCAAAAAACAAAATCCTTCTGTACAGACTTTGGGGCACAACATCGCCACCAGGTAGACATGCCCTGTTTCTTATTATTTTTTTCGAGGTTTAACCATGAGGGTCTTGATTTATTGAATCTGGCGGGGCCAGGGTAGAATCATTTTTTTTGTTTAACTAAAAACCGCCAAGACTGAACCTTGGGGGCCTTGATTGTGTACAGTTTATTTATTCTAAAACACAAATTCTCGGGGGTCCTGATCATATACTGGAAAACCATATATAACTTGGGGGTTCTGACTATGGGGGAAGATTCTACTATATTGTACTATCCAGTATATTGAGGATTATTTTGGATTATCACTATCCATTATGGGAACCCGTTCTTAACCAACCAGTATACGGCACTGTGACATGTTTTGGAACCTGAGTGGCTCCATCCTGAAAGGTGGTCAATCCCATGGTTCAAAACCAGGTCAATGGCTGATAGGTAAATGGTAAATGACGAGAAACGGATATAGATGGATATGGATGGATACAAATGGATACTCACGGATATCGAATTCGAATTCGATACAAAAGTCCATCAGTCCATCGACAAAAATAGTACACACCCCTCACGCATAGAAAAAACATGGTCCCCCCACATCCATTCCGATACCTCGCCGAGGTGCTGATCCAGTTCAATACGGGCTATTATCACAATGGTCGCCTGGAGATGTCACGGCGCCGCATCGCTCAGCACTACACCCAAACCTGGCTGCTCTTCGACATTTTGTTGATCTCCTTGGATGTCTGCATCTTAGAGTGGGGTATGGTACTTTTATGATCTTTTATGTACTTTATGATTTTTTTAAAATGTACTTTTGGAACCAGGGAGAAAAAAACATTGGGTGTTGGGGACATAAGTTGAGTCAGGCCAAACTTTACAGGTTGGAGTTCTTCACTTTTACGGTTGTACGTTGCAGGTACTTCAGCCAAGCAGATGAGCTATGTATGGTACATCGGATGTGGCAAGGGGTTTCCCAGCTAACCATGTTTGATGACAGAAGGGTAACCCTAGTTAGCCATAGTTGCCAACCCACCAAGGGCTATCCCCCCCAAGGGCTAACCCCCCAAGAACCAAGCAGTAATCCGCAGCCGTTGAAATCTCAGTGAGGTGGCAACCGCGGTCTACCAATTTGGGATGTCGGAGAGTGGAGGCTGCGGGGCAGTGAAGTGGAGATAGTGGTACTGAGAGTTCAAGACTATTGTTGATTTTAACAAGTACTGTAGCTTCATCCAATTTTGATTTGATGCAAAATGGATACCTGAGAGGTCTTTCCTGTTCTTGGTGTTTATTATAGAGTAGAGGAAAATAGGCATATAAATGGACATTCACCCCCTTCTCCTCTTACTTCATATTTAGTTCACTCGAGGCTGACTTACCCTTAACCCCTCTTGCAGGGGTGTAACCCCTCTACCTGGCAACGGTTATGAGGGTTCCTGGTTTTTTCCGATTGAAACACGACATTTTCCATTGCAAACGTTAAGGACATGTTTCACGAAATCCTATCAGCTCACATCACGGCTTTTTTGGGGGGTTTAATTTGGATATGCTAAGTAGGTAATACCACATACATCAGCATTAATAGCAGTTATGACGCACAGACCCCAATTTCATGGAATTTCTGGGTTCCTAAATGTTCCTAACCACTTCTGGCGCATGCCGCATGCCTGGCATCGCTCCGCGCAGGAGCTTCGGTGCTCCGTAGCATGCGGGCTCTGCGGGTGCTGCGGGCCTTTCGCTTGCTTCGGCTGTTGAAGATGAGCCGTTTGAGCGCCTGGGGTGAAATTTCAGTGCAGATTTCTCATTTTTTTTCGATTGTCCTATGTATTGCAACCTGTACCATCCTGTACCTACAAATACGTATAATTATCATACTTTAAATTTATATTGATACTTTGCTATTGTTTTGATATGATATTACTTTGTCTAGAATTTATTACTATGTTTTACTGTTATTTTTCAATGCATACACTTACATATAATCACATATGTATGTATATATATATACACATGTACATATATATATACATTTATGTATAATATTTTACATAGTAATACAATTGTACTACTATAGATGATGTGATACATGTATATACATATGATTAGCAGCATATTATGCTTACACTGTATTACTAAACATACTAAACTTGAGCAGTTATTTTCTTGGCGATTGAGCAATACAGCCATATAAAAGTACGCCTCTTTCACGGGGGAATGCATTTTTCTGCGCGGTTCAACCACTTTGAGCCTCTCAGATGCCCATGTCGGTGTTCATAGCTTTTGGACTTGGGTTTTTTCAAAACTGTCGCCTGTAGCTTGAATCTTTTGGACTTGGCATCATGTGGGGATGAGGGTTTGAACTTGAGACTCAGCGGATTGCAGATGAAATGGAGAATTCTTAGTGTTTTGACCTATTCAACATTTTCGGAGGCCCGGTCTTTTGGATTGATCATCCAATTTCTAGCAACAACATGCAACAACCCATATCATATTCGGACACAATCCAGTCTTTTCACCCGCCGACCCCGAAGCGTGTCGGGAACTCCATTCCATTCCATGGCTTTTTCCCATCAATAGGGGCCATTTGTTGGGAAAAGCCCATAAAAGTGGTGCTGGTTGAAGGTGGACTCATTTCACCCTGTCAATTGGCTGATTTATCGTTTTCCCCATTGGATTTTCCATGATTTTCCCATTCCATTTCCATGGTTCATTACCAGCTTTCTGGAATTCCTTCAGAGCGAGCCATTTGAGAATCGATCAAAACTTCAAATACTGACAAAATGAAACTGCAAAACCAGCTATTTTGATGTTAAAAAACGGATCAAACCGGCTTTGGATCGCCAATGTTTCAGCGTTTCACCGGCGCAGCACGTGTCGACCAAGTGGCAGGTGCTGTCATCGAAGAAGCGTCCATCGCGGCAGGTCGCCAGTGGTTGGTGTTGGTGGTGGCCATCGTGCCATGGCGCGGAAGCGCCGGTGGGACATCTATGGCGATGAGGGACACCAAACGGCCCTGGCTTTAAATGGGGAACATGACACCAAACTATGGCTTGAAATGGGGAAACTGATTAGAATGGGATGATTCCGGTTTCTATCCATTTTTTCACATTGGTGACATATCAACCTTCAAGAGACTTGCAATGGGTTCGTGTTTTGGTGTGTCTGAAAAAGGGGGGAACCGCAAATTGCAAATTTTGAGATCACCCTTTTCTGAGACCTACTCAAATCATCTCAAATCGGCGTAAGAAACCAAGCAATGGATACAGCTGGGAAAAATGGAGAACCTCCCCCCCAAAGAATTCATCAATTCGTTTGCGGATGTGCACCCAAATTCATTTGGAGGCTCCAAACTTGTACACAACACATCCCTGAGACAGCAACGGCAAAAGACGTGACTGGGAGACTGAGGTGAACACTACTCTGACGATTTTGGTTTGCGCCCATGTCTTGGCTTGCTTTTGGTTTTGGATCGGAAGGCGGGGATGGAGAATTCCCGCCACATGGCAACGACTCTGGCCCTGGCATTCTGTGAACAATGGGGACATGAAGATGGGGTACCCCAAAAGTCCCATATAAATCCATATAATCATAATCTAATCTGATCCCCTTCAAGATGGCCATAGGAGGGGATTGGAGGTTGGAGGTATTCCCCATGTTGCGGTATGGTGATGCAGTGGGGTTATTTCGAAGAGGACTTGCCACTGGATCCAGCCCCAGGGATCGCTTTGAAAAGCGGGAGATCTCATGGATCGAGCTGTCGCAAGCGGAAAGCGTTTCAGGAGATACAACTTCACGGTTGTGATCAAGTATTTGCGGATAGGGTGCTCATTCACATATATCATCATATATCATCATATATCATCATATATCATCATATATCATCATATATCATCATATATCATCATATATCATCATATATCATCATATATCATCATATATCATCATATATCATCATATATCATCATATATCATATATCAACATATATCATCATATATCATCATATATCATCATATATCATCATATATCATCATATATCATCATATATCATCATATATCAAACTCGTCATCTCAAGATATCTCAAGGTTTCCAGCCAACTCTTTCTGCAGTCTTCAGCATCCTACAGCATCTTATAGCCATATGCAGAACAGGTCGTACCATCGCCATATCAGTCATCCGTGTCAGGACCCATTCAGTACATGCACGCGCTGCAGTGGATCCTAACGCCTCCAGCACCTTTAGTCGTGGCTGCTGATAGCGGCTTGGAGCGAGCCTATTGCATCTTCCTTCAAGGCTGAATCCAGCCGGTTGAGGTGATCATATGTTTAACTCTGTTTAACGTTTTGGAGCCACTTTTGCTATATCACATGATATATGATCCCATATACATCCTATATACACCATATGCATAGATTGAATGGATCACATTTATCGAAGATCGATATGAGGAGATTTGGTCTCCCCTTTACTCCATCATAAACCAACCTCCATTTTTTGGGGGGTTTGGGTGTACCCCATTAGCCTCTGGTTATGACTAACATAGCCATGGAAAATGGTCCATTTATAGATGGTTTACCGGTTTACCTATTAATTCTTATTGAACATGGTGATTTTCCAAGGCCATGTTAGTCATAACCAGATGGTAAACCATTCTGAACCATGTTGAAATTCTTGAAACATCTTGAACCCATCCAGCTTGCGGAGTCGATCGCCAGGCTGCACAGTAGTTGTCATCGGTTCGTCCCTGTCAAAGATCACAGGGACACTCACGGAGTTGAGGCGTGGCCTGCGATCTCTGGCGATTTCCCTGGAAAATTGCTGGTTCAATTTGCCCTCCGAAACATGTGGGCAGGTATGAAATAAATAGTGTGTGCAAGAATTCCAGGAAATGACATAGAAGGGTATAGAATGCTGGTGTCCTAGCTTGGCAGTGCCAGAGCAAGAGATCATGATTCTTCTGACAGAAATTCTATGAAATTCTCACGCTGTCCTATGAAAGCTTGAAATAATCTTGTGTTTTTCCTGCAAGCGAAACCTGCATTTGGCAGATCACTTCGCCCTATGATGCAACTCTTCAGTTTTTCCAAGTGTCGGAGGTTGTAGAACTGAAGTCATTGAAGGTATCAGTATTGCAAGTTCAGATTTCAGTGGCAAGAGCCATTTCTTTCCAAAAGATGACTGGGATATTTCTGCTACTGAGCTGGACGTGAAGAGATATCCTGTCCAGGTTAAGAATCTCCAGAATGCGACTTTTGGAAAGCTCAACAAGACTCAACCTTGATCATGTGGTTAAAACAAGAATAAACCAGCCCCCAGTCATCACCATCAATTTATAGGTGGTATTGGTATAAAATGGTATAAATCATTCCCAGTCATGGGTAGTTTATGGCATTGTTTTAACCACTTTAGATCCTTATAGATCCTTCAAAACGCGCATCCGTGGCTGGGTGATTTTTCAGGACCATCAACTCAGAAGGGTCTCGTCGAAGACGAGAAGTGCGTAGCTGGGCTACGAGCAAGGTCTACTGAGTTACTGGGAGTATCACCCATAATGGGATAGAAACAAATAGCAACCAGTATGATGGGCTGGGATGGGCTGGGATGGGCTGGGATGTGGTGTTTTTTCATATCAAATAGTGGACGGATGTGGACTTCTTGGCTTCAAACCTTGGAAAGCACACCAGAGAGATGACGCAGATTGACAAAGTGTTGCACGCGATTCTATCAGACTATCCACCGTAGATTCTCATCAACATGCTCCTGTGCTGTTTCCTAATGCCACCTCGCGTCCCGATACTGAGGACAATACTTGCATGCACAGAAAGTCTCAATGGAATTGACATCACGAATCATGTCAGAAGCCAAGAGCGAAGACCTGTTCCTCCGGGCAGCAAACTAAACTGCAACTTGCAATGCTATGAAAGGAAAGGCAGGACACACAGGAGTATGCAGTGTCAATGAAGCTGCGTGATGGCCACATGGTTGTTTCATGTTGTTTCGAGAGCAAATACATTCAAGCATCGAATGTCACCAACATGTACCCATTAAATCCAACATCATCCAACTATTTTTTTCTTGGTGCTTCCTTTTTCAAAATGTTGCAGAAAAAATCGTAGATGATCCCCATCCCCATCTCCCCATCCACCCATGGCAGAGCTCCTAGGCGTTTCGTGGACTACAAATTGGACCGTCAGTCTTCCGTGGCACTCGATCCCAGCAACTTGGCGCATTTGTGCTGTGCAATGCACTGTCCTGCTTTTGCAGGACAGCTATTTGATGATATATATAATATTATATATTCATATATATATATATATATTCTGTAGTTTTTATATGTTTTTATATTCTTTTAAATGTGGTTTTATGATGTTTTATGTAATATGATTTAAGACTGTTCACTTGTATTTGTGTGCGGATTTCGTCTCAGGTCTCTTGTCTCCTTCATTGCGAATAGAGCTTCATGTGAGCCAACGCGGCCATATGCTGAAGCCTCATCCACTGTTTCTCGGCAAGTGCAGCGAAGACGATGCAAGCGTGGCTGTTGTCCAATGTCTGAAATGACAGAGCAAAACAGGAAAACAACATAGATGATATTTTCTGGTCTCTCAAACTAAAGTATATACCCTTTAATACCTTTTTTCCATTTTTTCCCGTTCTTTGAGCTTTATCGGATTTGTGCTCGGTAGATTATATAAATCTGCACAGTCCATATGACACGCAGGCGTCCTCTATCATTTTTGCTAAGTTTATTTGATTGTTTGTTTCGCATGTTTCGCCCTTGCAATCATGCCGTTGGTTTACAAAGAGAAAGGGCTCCTACACTCGAGGTTTGACTTGTTGAATGAAATTCATCCAGAGGCCTGTCAGGGTGTGAATTCCATCCAGTGGGTGCAGGACTGCACCCACTGGTTTTTAAATACAATCATCACAGGAAAGGGACATATCCCGTTGATAAATTACTTACAAATTACAACGGTAGATGGGACGATAGGATACGATAGGCATGATATGTGATAGCCACCTATCCGGGTCACTGCAACGTCACGTCGCGACGTCACTGCAATGGATGGTCAGTCATAAACAGTCACCCAAATGAATCACGATGATTTGCCCAGCCCAACGATCCCAATCAACAAGGATTAGGCAGGTAGTGAACTGGGAATGATTCAAATGTTGGACTTGCATTTCGAGGCTCTCAAATTGGTGTATTTCAGCAGGTTTTAGCGATATCCAGTGAAAAGTGCTGGGTGTATACCCTCTGGTTTTTCAACACAGCTGTGGAACATCTCAATGTTTAATAGGTATACATCTAGAAGTGGATCATTTTCCATAGTTATGTTGAATTACCGGATGGCATATCTCAAACTCTGGCGTCCCCAAAATGGTAGTGTCCATCCTCGAGGATTAATGGTCAAAAATGCCATGGGAATCAAAGAAAAACCATTTCGAATCCCCTTTTTTTTTGGAAGATGGTAAAAAGGAAGCTCCATATTAATGTCACTATCTATTTATCACGATTATCATGAAATTTATCTAGAATCTTAATATTTAATTAGTGACATGAATTCATGCCCAAAACATCCCATAGATTTTCCCCCAAAAAATCGCCACAGTTCCAGGCTTCGCCCATGGCAGGTCTTTGCCGCGATCTGCGGAGCCGTGGAAAAGCAGGTCTTCGGAAAGAGCCTAGCCGAGATTCGGAGGGCGACGAGAGTTTCGCGTGGGAAAAAATGGGGATCTTGTGTAATTTTAATGACTATTTTAGAACTATATATAATATCTATCTATAATATATATATAATATATATATAATATACATATATATGTAACATATATATATATATATGTAATATATATATATATATATGTATATGTGACTTGAGTAACCTTGGATGTACGAACCATATGCCACCTGCAGGCTGCATGGGAAACCAGAGACTTCGCCATCGCCACTGCGCATGGCTCAAGGCACGTGAGGTGCAAAAGCGAGGACGCGGCTGCTGTGGGCAGCACAGGTATCGAGAAGTGTAACAAGTTCATAAGGGCCCAGGGGGTCACGGTGAAGAGCCCTTTTAAGGGGAGATTTTCCTTTTGGGGTAGGAACCCCAAATCCAAGAAACTGGTTGGTACCGGTTTCCCTACCTTTGTGGACTCTTACCCGGGGAGCCACATTGGTAGCGGAGCCCGGAGGGCCCACGTGACTTCGTGGAAAGCCCGGGGCGCCCGCCATGTCGTCCACTGCTGAGATCTCAGATGACAAAGGGTCTCACATCTGGACCTTGCTGCCTACGTTTGACCCGGCAGTGGACAACGTCAGAGAGTACATAGAAAAGGTGAAGTTCATAGACACGATCTGCCCAAAGAAGGATCGACCAATGCTAGCACCACGGCTAGCTATGCTGTGTCGAGGGACGGCTTGGGGACAAGTGAAAAACCTCGACTCGGCCCAGTTGGTTGATCCCGAGCACGGCGTCAAAAACTTGTTGGCGGCGCTGTCTACATGGGAAGAGTCCACCGAGATGAAGACGTATGAACAATTTGAGAAAGCAGTATACAAGACAGTTCAGAAGAGCGACGAGTCCAGCATGAGTTTTGTCAACCACTTGCAGGTTGCGATGGACGAGCTGGGCGCAAAGAGTATCAAGGAGTTCCATGCCTTCCTGCTTCTCAGACAGAGTTCATTGAGCCCTGAGGACAAGAAGCGTGTCCTGACAATGACGAATGGAAACATGGATACGAAAAAGATCGAACAAGCAATGCGAACCCTGGCAACCTCAATTTTGTCATCAGGTGAAGTCAAAAGGAAGGTCTACCCAACCAACTATGTAGAACCTGAGCAGAACCTGGTGACCAATGAGCAGGAAGCCTTTTCAGCTGGAAGTGTCAATCAGTACAACAGCTATGAAGAGGAAGAGATCGACCAGGAGTTTGTGGATCACCTAGCATCTCAAGGCGACTCAGATGCCTTGAATGTGGTGAGTTTTGAACGTGATCTAGAAGAGATGTTTCAAGAAGTTCCTGACCTCCACAATGCTTTGCTGAGCTACCAAGAGGCGCGAACAAAGATCCTGGAGAGGAAACGATCCCGAGGATTCTGGCCTGCGACTGGAAAAGGGAAATCAAAAGGGGCTGGGAAGTTTCATCAGTTCCGAAAAGGGTCTGGCAAGGGAAGTCTTTTGCAGTGCATCTCAAGGACATTTTGTCGAGCATGCGGAGAGAAAGGTCACTGGAAAGCAGAGTGTCCGAACAAGCCTCCTGCAGCGACGGATCAAGCAAACTTTGTGACCCACCAGAGCTTCAGATCCTATGCCCGTGATGATGAACCAGCCCATGTGATTTTCGAGGAAACGGATGAGGCCGGAAACATGTCAACCATGGGGAATAATAAAAGGGGTAAAGGGGATAAGGATAATAAATGGGGCATATGTCAAGTTTTGTCCAAAGCATGCCACAGCATCCGATGTTTTGTGAGCCAATGCATCCGGAAGCAGCCAATCACCAAGAACCACACTGAGCATCCGGAATGTGAAAGCGAGATTCCCCATGAAGTTGCCTTTAGCCTGCACCATCTAGTTCCCCAGGTTCAACAGTTTTTCCGATTTCGTTTGAACCCCAGGACGAAGCCGTCAGTGCCTGAACATGAAGCATCCGAGTGCTTCCACAGCCGACCGAGCTTGGGAGCCATTGCAGAAGATGGTTTAGCCATACTGGACACTGGAGCCAGCCGCAGTGTCATAGGAGCTGACTTGTGGCCGGGTGTGATGAAAAGTCTGCCCAGCGAAGTGCAATCACGAGTGCAAGAACACCCCAGCAAAGTAGGATTTAGATTTGGCAATAATCAAATAACCTACAGTTTCAAACAAGTCCGAGTTCCAATCATTGCTGGCCGTAGCAGAATCTGGATGGTTGTGGAAATTGTTCCTCGAGCAACTCCTTTCCTCATATCCATTCAGGCCATGAAAGCCCTAGGAGCCATGATAGATCTGTCAACAAATCAGTGTTATCTATCCAAGATTCAAAGATGGTTGAACTTACGAGAAAGTGAGAATGGTCTGTATGTTTTCAAGATGTCTGAGCTGTGCCTAGGTGTCACAGAGAATGCCATGTCAGCCAAAGAAACAGCAGCCATTCGAGTGTCCAACGTCTTGCCCCCGCCTGGTCTTGTCCGAAGTGAGTCTTTCCAGAATGTTGACTCAACGGGATGCCATGAAGCTGATCAAGTCGACGGCAGAGGCGGTGATGGAATCTCTCAGAATGCTCTTGATCATCTTGATGAACCAGATCGAGGTGAAAGCCCCCGACCAGGAGATCACCGTGCAGCATGCGACCTCCCTCCAATCTCTCTTGGCCAACGTGAATGCCCAGAAGGATCGGATCGAGGAACTCTCCCAGATCCTCAAGGAAAACAGATCCCCGAAGAGGACTTCAAGTCGCGCTGGGCCAAGTCCTTCGGAGATTGGAGTCCTATCGGACCATTCATGGGAGCTGGAAGAGGAGGAGGAAATCAGGGCTGCAACAAGGACTCCACCAAAGAAGAGCCAGCCGAGATCTCAGGGAGCCTCAACCATGAGCCACCTGAATCACAACCTGATTCCGGAGAACAACCGAGAGGGTCAACTTGCGCTGACTGCTCAGGCTTTGGAGTCATGGGGCAACAAGAGAGTATCATGGGGGAAAACACACAATGGGAGACGATTCACAGAGGTGTACGAAGAACACCAAAGCTACGTCGATTGGGTCAGTGCACGAGCCAAGAACGCGACCCCGGCAATGCAGGACTTCATCACCTACTGCCAAGCTCGCAGCGACATGGAGAAGCAGGCACTGAGAGGCCGTTAGAAAGATCAGCGAATCCAGGCCCATCAATGCATCTGGAGAATGCCTATGAATTGCACATGATGAACCAATGTCGCCATCACATGCCAATTCAGGGTCATAAGCCCATAGATCTCCTAGAAGTGTATGCCAGCAGTAGTAGCCGATTAACGAATGAAGTCAATAAGAGGGGTGGGGTAGCCAAGAGATTCACCTTTGAAGATGGGGATTTGAGTACCACTGAAGGACAGATCAAGCTGTTTCGGAAGATCTTCCTGTGGAAGCCACGACACATATGGCTAGCTCCAGAGTGCGGCCCTTGGAGCCCTTGGAACCGATTGAACCAGACGAAAAGCATGGAATCCTATAGCCGCATCCGTGAAAGCCAAGCTGCATCCAAAGATCAGCTTTATATGTGTGACCTGATTTGCAAGATACAGTTGGATCGGGGTGACCATTTTCACCTTGAAAACCCCAAACCTTCCGGAATGTGGCAACAGGAAGAAATGCGAGAAATATGCGGCCGTACCAAGCCAGCCTTCTTCGATCAGTGTCAGTTCGGTTTAAGGCATCCATCTTTGCAAGAACCGATGCAAAAGAGCACCCGTGTACAAACCTCATCCGAAGAAATGTTTAGAAGCCTGGATAACCGATTGTGCTCAAGAGATCATGCCCATGCACATGTAGCTGGATCATGTACCGTTGATGGAAAAACTGTACAGGTGTCCCGTTTCTCAGCGTTCTATCCCAGAGTTCTTGCAAAGAAGATTGCCGAAGTGATCATGCGACCAGTGCATGAACATGTAACCGTCCCGACCATGGTCGTCCAGCAAGAATGCTTTCCCGTACGAAAGCTGGAAGATTCCGGAAGTCCAATGGAGAGCATGGCAAAACGTTCCAGAGTCAAAGAGAACGAAACCGGCAAGAAGTCAAGCCGTAAAAGAACTCACGAAGAAGAATCACCTAAGAAAATCGAGGACATAAGATGGAAAGGGGTAATGGATAAATATCGAAAGGAACTACCTAAATCTGGGGTAACTAAATGGGATGGTCCTCATAATGCCGAAGTACAAGTTCTTCAAAGCCTATGCCCTGAAATGCAAGTCCAGTCAGTAATGGCATGCAAGGGTCGAGAGAAATACATGGTCCACCCAGATCGTTTGCCTCACCGAAGAACGGTAGTTCTGAGCCGATTGTCATACGAAGTGTCTGACCTTGGAACTGAAGATCTGCAGTCCATGCCCAACAGTCATCAGAAAAGGAAAGCATCCATGCCTTCACATGTCATGATATGTGTTTTTGGTAGACAGAAAGAGTCCTCAGAGGTCCAAGTTGTAGGAGACGCCATAATGGAAGACCCTGGAACACCGCCTGGAACGAATCACATGCCAGTCCCAACAAGTGACTCCACCAGAAGAGTCGGTGAGCCGAATGCTGAGAACCCTGAAGTTTCAGCACCTGACCTTTCGAGTGTCATGCCCGCCAACTCATGGACGTCCGCTGCAGTGTCGGTGTCTGGTCCAAGATTTCTCCAATTATCTGAACCCAGAAAAGCATATATCAGAAAGTTGCATCACAATCTGGGTCACCCGACATCAGAGCGTTTATCCAAACACCTGGCAGAACTCGGAGCAGAAGAGCTGCTGGTCCAAGGTGCCTTGGATTACCTGTGTCCCTCATGTGTGGAAAGACGGCCACCAAGTTTGAACCCAACCGGAACCCTCAAAGAAGCTAGAGATTTCAACCACCGAATTTACATTGATGGTTTTGATTGGAAAAGCACTACAGGGTATCAAGGATATGTTGTTCACTTGATTGATGAAGCCACGCAATTTCACTTGGGGAGACGCACAGTTCGTGATGGGATCCAAGCGCAAAAAGTATTTGAAGAATGTTGGAGCAGCTGGGCAGGAATACCAAGCGAGCTAGTCATGGATTGCGGAGGTGAATTTGTTGCCGAACCATGGAAAGAATTCCTCCAGCAAGGGAATATCACCCCAATACTCACTGCAGGGCCATGGCAGAGAGGTAGAATTGAAAGACATGGAGCAATTGTAAAAGAGATGTTGTCCAGAATAGATCAAGCTCAGCCGATAAACAATGAAGGAGAATTTGAAAGAGCATTGTTTCAAGTCTTTCGAGCCAAGAATAGCCTTTCTACAACATGTGGCTACAGTCCTGAGCAAGCAGTCCTAGGAAAGGCAACAAGACTCCCCGCATCGTTGACAAGTGATGAAAGCACTCCGGCACACATGCATGCAGCCTTCAATGAAGGACCTGAGGCAGAAAAATTCCGTGCGTCGCTGGAACTCAGAGTGTTGGCCCGAAAAGCCTTCATTGACAGTGACAACAGTCAAGCCATACGCCGAGCCACCCTGAGGAAGTCCAGAGGGGAAATCAATGAATGGAAATGCGGACAACCCTGTATGTTCTGGGATAAGCGCAAATCAGCCAACATGATAGAGAAAGGAAAATGGTGTGGACCAGCTCAAGTTGTTTTGGTTGAATCAAAGACTATCGTTTGGATAACTCACATAAATAGGTTGTTGAGATGTGCAAGGGATAACCTCCGTCCTGTCAGCCTTAGAGAGTTTGAGCGACATGCGTCTTTCAGCCAACAAATCGATGCACAGCAGGCCCAAAAGTTGGCTGAGAATCTGCAAAGGAGACTCCATGAAAGAAGTGGAATGTTCCAATTCTCAGATCTAAGTGATGTCCCAGTTGAAGCACCCATGGAAGAGGACCACCCACAAGGAAATCAACCTGAAGAAGAACCTTCTAGAAGAGCCTCACATGAACCTGTGCCCGAAGCTCGAGAATTGCGTCCTGAAGAAGTGGCCATCCCAGAAAGTGTAGACCATGAATGGAGCGAGCCAAGTGATGTGTCACCAAGTAGCTTTGCACCCGAGCCTAACGGGGAGAATAATGTTACGGGGAGTAACTTTGGGGAGAACCTAAGTGGGAATGAGAGCATTGAAGACAGTAACATAGTCTATAATGCCTTCTTTTCGGAGTCCAATGTTCCCGGACCTGCCATCCCTAGCGACGAAGACACGTTATGGGATGATGCTCAAGAGGATCCTCGACCATACTGTGAGTATGAGTTTGATGTCCCCAAGCAGCACGTCCAAAGGTTCATAAAAGATCCCAAAATGAACACCTCCTTTTTGGCCACTGCAGCTAGGCGTGCACGTTCCGAAGTCCGATATGCCACATTGAATGCATCCGAGAGAGATCTCTTTGACAAAGCCAAATCTAAGGAACTCAACTGTTGGTTGGAAACCAGTGCTGTCAGGAAAATCATGAGATCCAAAATTTCCCCCAACCGCATCATGACTAGTCGATGGATTTTAACATGGAAACCTGACCCGTCCATGCCCAAGGGTCAGAAGGCCAAAGCCAGACTTGTTGTACGGGGATATCAAGACCCCGAACTTGATCAGGTAAGTACAGAATCCCCGACTTTGTCCAGAGATGCTCGAATGCTGTGTTTGCAGGTGATCTCATCGATGGGTTGGGTAGTCCAAAACTTCGATATAACCACGGCCTTTCTCCGTGGGAAATCAGATGGAAGGCAATTGGCCATGGAACCCGTTCCAGAACTTCAGAGACTTCTCAAAATGACAAGTGACGAGGTCCTGTTGCTAGAGGGTAACGCATATGGCAGAGTTGATGCACCACTGCTCTTTTACCAGGAGTTTAGACGTCAACTAGAGAAAGTAGGATTTGAAGCTCATCCACTTGACAATTGCCTGTTCTTGCTGCGAAACAAAACCAATCCCGAAGTTCTGGATGGAATCTTAGGAACTCATGTTGATGATGGCATAGGAGGAGGGAATCACCACTATGAGAATGCCTTGAAAGAATTGCAAAAAGTACTTCCATTTGGACAGAGAGAGTTCAGAAAATTTAGATTCACGGGTCTTGAGATTGAACAGCTGCCTGATAACTCCATCAAAATCAGTCAGGAACCATATATCAATAAGATTGAACAAATACAAGTGCCCAAAAATAGGAGAGCCAACAAAAATGAAATGGCAAACGCCCAAGAAGTTCAAGACTTGAGGGGGTTGTGTGGGAGCCTTCAGTATGCGGCTGTACATAGCAGACCCGACATAGCAGCAAAGGTAGCTTTTATCCAGAAGAACATTTGCAAGGCGACAGTGTCAACTCTCCTGGACGCCAACCGAGTGCTGATTGAAGCCCAGCAGACGGCTGATACGGCCATAATGGTGAGACCTCTGCCTTTGGAGCGAATCACCTTTGCAAGTTTCGGCGATGCAAGTTTTGCCAGTGCTTCTCAGTTAAAGGCCCAACAGGGATTGTTTATCGTTGCCTGCACGCCCGAACTTGCTGCCAACAAAACATCCGAAATCAGTCCTATGTCCTGGAATAGCAAACAGATAGGCAGAGTGGTGAGATCAACGCTTAGTGCCGAGGCATATGCAATGAGCTCCTCTCTTGACAAATTAACCTGGCTTAGGTGTCTATGGGGTTATATCCTAAGTCCAACCTTCAAGTGGCAATATCCCGAACGTTCCCTTCAAGCATGTCCCAAAGCTCTACTTATCACAGATTGCAAAAGTTTATATGACTTAGTCACTAAACTGGCAGTACCTAACTGTGAAGAGTGGAGAACAACTGTGGAGGTGATGCTTATCAAGCAGCAGGCAGAAGGGCATTCGCAGTGCCGTTGGATTTCTACAGCAATTATGCTGGCCGACTGTCTGACGAAGCCGATGGAATCCTCCTTTTTAAGGTCAGTGCTACGGCTGGGAAGATTCAGAATCTTCGATGAGAGCCAAACGTTACAAAACAACTCACACCGCAAGATCGCGGCAAAGTGGGTATCCTTACCAACCGCGGCACTGGAAGATGAGGATCCGAAAGTACATCCAAAAGAAAAATAGACCAGTGTGACTTGAGTAACCTTGGATGTACGAACCATATGCCACCTGCAGGCTGCATGGGAAACCAGAGACTTCGCCATCGCCACTGCGCGTGGCTCAAGGCACGTGAGGTGCAAAAGCGAGGACGCGGCTGCTGTGGGCAGCACAGGTATCGAGAAGTGTAACAAGTTCATAAGGGCCCAGGGGGTCACGGTGAAGAGCCCTTTTAAGGGGAGATTTTCCTTTTGGGGTAGGAACCCCAAATCCAAGAAACTGGTTGGTACCGGTTTCCCTACCTTTGTGGACTCTTACCCGGGGAGCCACATGTATATATATATAACATGTATATTTATAATACACCAAAATCATGAACATGTCAGTGTGGATTTGTATGCTCCCAAATCTGAATTCGTGGAATCGGAATCGGAATCGGCGGAAGGTTTCATTTGGCTATCCCATGGTATCCGGCCAGCTGAGGATGGAAATGGTGTTTCAAGCACACTCCTGGGCTCATCTCTCAGATTTCAGATATTTCAGCACTGGATTGTGGGGCATAGTGGGGCCTATCCTGGCATTCCTGCAATTTCCTGGCATTCCTTTCAAATCTTGAAAAACATATGGTTCTCTTGTCGTGGGCATTTCATAGTTTCATCAACAGAGGTGCCAATCATAGCAGGATTAGCAGCTTCAGATTCGTCGATTCGCCCATTCGCCAAGGCAGAGTGCATGTGGATCACTGGCACGGGGAGATTCTTAGTCGTCCCCAGTGATGTAGGCGGGCCACTGGGCCACTTGGAGAAGTCAAGGGATTTTGTCACTTTTGGGTTGGCAAAACTTGACCCATACTGTCCATACAAAAATATTCCCAGAGTTGGTAGAGGGATGAAGGGATAATTGGGAGGCACCTAGATTTGGAACCAGGGATTCCAAGCAAAGTTTCCTGAGTTCTCCTAGCTGCTAGCTTTTCCTTGTAATTTGAATCACTCCAGAGACACATTGCATGCTGGCGACTGATGGTCGCTTGCAGGATTTGACATGGATGACCTTACGAGCCCTGGTTGGAAAATGAGAACGAACAATTTCCGACCATTTCTGGTGTGTATGCAGCATTGTGCCACTGTACCGCACTCACCATACTCATTGCAATTGTGTTGAAAGCCGAAAGCTCAAGCTTGGCAAAGGGTTTTGGCTCATGCCTTAGCTTCTCGACACTGAGGATATCCAGAAGCGCTACAGTGGCTGAAGCAACACAGAGTTTCACAGGCCCAAGCCCGGGCATTTCCCGGGCATTTCCCGGGCATTTCCCGGGCTTTCGCTCGATGTAAAACCCAGCATCCGGTGACCTTCACCGGTCGAAGTTGCCACAGGTTGCCACTGGTTCACGGAAGCTGCGCTCTTTGCCGAAGCCGTGACGCATGATTGCTCATTGAGGTCGGGGATGAAGCCATGATGGGAACCACTATAGGAGTTGCCACGGGTTTAACCAGTGATGCAGATGGTTGGTTTATGATGGTTTGTGATGGTTTATGATGGTTTATGATGGTTTATGATGGTTTATGATGGTTTATGATGGTTTATGATAGTGTATGTGCATGAATGATCACAATAATCATTGCTGGTTCGAGCTTCGCATGTATATGTTGCGTTGCATTACTATGTATTCTGGGTAAACATAGAAAACTCATCAGCTATGACGAAAAGTTGCTATTTGATATTTTATCCATTACACTAAATTCCACTGGCAGGAAGTTGGTTTCAGAGATCCCTGCAAACCCCGATGACTTTTTTCCACAGGGCGCTGACCTTCGCGGAAGCCTTCACTCTCAAGGGGGAGGATCTGGCACGAACGCTCATGTGCCTGGCTGTCAAGCAGTGGATTGGTACGGGGGAATCCAATGAAGCAGATTTTAGGTCAATCTTCAGATGTGCGCAGTTGCGGGCTGTTTGGTTCGCAGAGAATCTCTCTGCAGACTCACCTTGATGAAATCTCCATTAGTTTGGACAGCACCACATCTCTTCCCAGTGCTATTTCCATCGACGCTGAGGAATTCTCCCGACTGCACTGCGCTATTCTGTGAGTACGGCAAGGCGGGTAGTTCTTCTAAGACCTGGCAGCTTAGTTAAGGCATCAGATCCTTGCAGTTAGATCTTGAAGCTTGTCACCTGAGCAAGCCACTTTATGACATTCTATGACCATGCTTCGGAACTTCAACATGTTACATCATGTTACAGGATGCCACGATATGCCACGATATGCTACATATCATTTTGTGAAGATCCTCGGGTCGGTGGTGATTTCAGTGATTTCGCCTCAGGATTTGCTGGCGAAAATCGCCATTGAGAAGAGTAAGGACACATGGAGCAGTGCCAAAGCGGAGGAGCGATCCGGGGATTTGGCGGGATGCCGAAATCGCCGGAGGCAACGTTTCGGGAGGGGTGTTTTTGAACGAGACATCCCCAGTTTGGGGCGAAGAAACTCAGTAGAATTGCGCAGTTGAGAATCGGGGTGATGAATTTGCCGTATAGATTCAGGGGTGAAAGCGCAATTGAATTTCTATGCAGAGTGAAGAATCCTTCTTGTCGTGAGCAGTGGAGATTTGACTGGCGATTCAATGGTGATCTAATGGTCCTGGTGAATGGTGATTCAATGGGATTAAACAACCATAGTCAATGAGTATCATCCCAGCCATTTCGCCACTCCTTCAGGAGCTGTCGAGAACTTGTTTGCAACAGACCCTTGGGCTGCAGGGATCTGCAGGGACAAAGGCGGCCAGTGGTAGAATTGCTCAGCTGAAGCGCATGACACAGCTAGCTAACAGCAGCTAACACATCATTCCCTTTGGACAAACAGATGCTGGTGCAGGATAATTGAGCTTAAGCTGATTATGAGCTTTTTGATAAACAGTTGGTTGATATTGTTGGTTGACGTTATATATACATAATTATATATATATACATAATTATATATATACATAATATATACATAATATATATATACATATTTATAATATATATATATATACATAATTATATATATATATACATAATTATATATATACATAATTATATATATACATAATTATATATATACATAATTATATATACATAATTATATATATACATAATTATATATATACATAATTATATATATACATAATATATATATATATACATATTTATAATATATATATATATATATACATATTTATAATATATATATATATACATATTTATAATATATATATACATACATAATTATATATATATACATAATTATATATACATACATAATTATATATATATATATACATACATAATCATACATATAATATAATATAATATAATATAATATAATATAATATAACATAATATAATATAATATAATATAATATAATATGATATATATATAATATATATTATGTATGTGTTCTGGCTCTTTTGAGCCGAAGAAACAGCTGGTTCGATGGCCAGGAACTCCTATTTCCAGGAGGTTCATCCGGATCCCAAGACGGTGTTGCACAATGTCCACCTCTTCAAGGACGGTTCAAACGCTGTCAGCCATGGTGGCCAGGTGGCCAGAGCTTGTGATTGTTGAGTGTAACCCAGCAAAAAGGTAGAAAAAGTCAAACCTAGTAAATTGTAATATATTGTGAAAAATCATTTTTTTTTGACGTTGCTACAACGGATATTGATGGAGCCAAGTTGAGGTGGTTGCCCCTTGTCACATGCCATCGCTCGTCTTGCCCCATTTCCCATGCAGGACGTGGTTTATCTCCAAGCATGGGCTACTGCAAGAGCGAGTGGCATGGCGGAGATGAAAAAGATCTTGAATGATAGGCAAGGCCATGGCCAGCGATCTGGCTTTCAACATGGTGGATACCCTCAAATAGCAATTTTAATTGGGAAAATGATGTTAAACTGTCAATTTTTGGGAGGTTTCCCCTAGATTTTCAGACAAACCCATGCAAGGCTGCAAATCACCACAGGCAGATTGAGCCTGAGAATTCCTAGCAACGTGGCAGGTTCTGGACCCTGCAACGAAAAGGCAAGAGTTTGCTGTTTTCCCGCGGCGACTCCAACGCGAAATCCGCTGTTGCAAATTCATCTGAGGAGATCTGGGTTCGATGGCGATTTTGGTGGTTTTCGGAGTTGATAGGAGTTGGATGGAGTTGGGGAAACAACCATTTTTCTGCCAAATGGACATGGTCCAGAATTGCCTACTTGGCAGTTGGGTTTGGTGTGTTGCTCCCAACCACTGTTGGTGCCATGTCCCCCATTGTAGGCTAGATCTCATAGTACATCACCACTCCACATCGATTTGCCCCAAATCTTAGCCAAAAGGACTTGCAGTTGGAGGCTGAAGTTCAGCAAGAAGAGGAGCCGTGGTTTTATGTGTTCGTGATGTGTCAATGACTCTCAATGGCCACAGTGAGAATCAAGAATCCCGATTAAAGGCCCCTTGAATCCCCTTAAAGCCTCATTCTATTTCAACATAATTCCCATGACACCCCCATTAATTTGTTTCATTCTGGAGGAAGGAGCCAGCCCCAGGAATACGTTGACAACACCTCCACGGTCAGCCCTGAGCAGTCGTACAAGAGGGCCAAAGAACAGCTGCAAGATTTAGCTGAAGGACTTCTCAACAAGAAGGCACCGGTCCATTCTTTTCTTTGGGAGCCAAGGCCAAGGATATGCATGGAATGAGGTTATGATAGGTGCTAATTTTGAATACTGAAGAAGTACCCTCTGGAAATATTCAAGATAGCTATGGAACATGGCCATGTAGAGATGATTTACCTATTAAATCCGCCCGCACCGAAGGTGCTGGGGCGTGATCGTCCGGATGGCACTCGTAAAAGGTTACAGGTTTACCTGGGGGAGGGGGGGCATTTTTCGGCCAAAACCTCCTGTTTTTGATAGGTCGTGACGCTCGCCTTCAAAAAACACTGTAAAAAACAGTACGGAAGACACCTGTTCGTGAACGCGCCCGTCCAAAATCGGCAAGCGAAAAGTGAAAAAAAACCGTGTTTTTCAACTTTTTGACCTCAATTTTTTGGTTTGCAACATCTTTTTTTGCGGTTCCGCAGGTGGCCTGGCCCGGAGGCGGATTTTTGAGTTTTTGGACCCGTTTTCGGACTGATTTTCGTCGTTTTGTGATAGCAGAAACACTGGTTTTTACAGTGTTTTTCTGTTTTCTGCATGCTTGACGGCTAGCTTCAAAACTTCCAAAAACCTCGTAAATTACGCTGTTTTATGTTACGGTGTGAATGAAAACATCGTAAATACCAGTGTTTTTTGACGTTGGTTAAAAAAACACTGTAAATTACAGTGTTTTTGGCCACCTGACCCTCAAAAACCATGGTATTTGCAGTGGTTTCTGCTTCTCACCGCGCAAAAACACTGTAAATAACAGCAATTTCGCCGTTTTTTCATGTTTTTCGTTATTTTTTGAACTGCGCTGGTCCGCTATACATGCATGGCTATCAAATTCTTCGCGTTTTTTTTTTCCCGACAATCAGTACTTTCGGATGTTTTTGGTCTCAATGGCCGACATCATTGGCAGTTACGATGCGGTGCGGGCGGTTGCCGTCGCGAAGCGACGTGAATATGTTGATTTTCCATAGCTATGTCAAATTACCAGCGGGTAAGTTGCACATGATTAGTTTGTTGCCACTTTGTTGATGCAGACAGCATCGACACAGTGGAGCTCACCCGACTCAACTGCCAGGTGAAGGTGTCTGAAGTGGCCGGATCCCTCTCAGCTGCTGAGACTTCAATCATCTTCAAGTGTCCAGTGGTTGATCACAGTCTGTTGGTAAATGGCCAGGTGTTTATGTCACTGGTTAGTTAACGGTTTTGTTGGGAAAATCTACAGAAAACAATTGTTTTTTTCGTATGACATAAATTATGGTGAGTTCCTGCACATTTTCCCTTAAACCAATCCATTGATTATGTATACAGTAGCCCTAGTTCCGAACAGTCGAGCCGCTCAGGACAGTATCCCGGAGCTGATGGAAAAGCGCGGCACTCACGATGTCTTCGGTCAGGCGGAGACTGCCCAGAGTCGGATCTTCCGAAAGAGGCGAAGAACCAAAAAGGTGCAGGAAAAAGTGAAGAACGCTTCCTAGCCATCGCAATTATATCCCATAGTTATATCCCATAGTTATATCCCATTGATCTCTCATAAATCCATCATGAATTTCCGGCATAGGCGGTGGAGAGGGAGAAGTCTGAGTCCTGCTGCATCAGTCTGATGGCACTCGTCGTTGGTTCCTACCAGGCAACCCTGGGGCTGTTAGGTGGAAAAACAATTCCAGTTGCCATGGCTGGCAGGACTACACTGAACCTCAACCTCCACAGGCGCCTCAACTTGATCAAGCCGAAGAAATGCAATGACGTAACATTCCACCATAGAAGATCGTGCATACAAAGAAAACACATTTTCTTTTGATATGGATTGATGATACACAGCATAATCATGCATAATCTATATTTTTTTTTGAATATATCACTTTGAGATTGGATAATTCTGATGTAAATCCATCTTGATCATGTTGAAAATCAGACTCCGCTTTTCCGCTTTTCGTTGAGGCGCGACTCTCGGAGAATCAATGGAACCAGCTGCAAGAACTGGTCCAATGGACACAACCAACGGTGACTGGCCGAAAATATGGTGAGTCATGGCTGGGACATCACATGGAAAATATGGTTTTCGGCCGTGTCTTCATGGGTTCCCATCATCGAACAAAATGAGGGATTTACATCTGTGGCTTGATTTCGGGGCACAACAGCGTGACCAATTTTCTGCATCCCACAACATCATGAGTGGTGCTTGGCGTGGCCCTTGTGATATTGGTTGCAAGTCAAAGATTCTCAAACCAGACAGCTCTTTCTTCACGTTGCACTTTTGTTTTGGTCTTGGCTTTGAAATCTGAATAAATCTAAGGGTTTGTTCAAAGACCCATGGTCTATCATCATTTTCCTCGTATACCACATGTAGAACCCCAAATATCCATCCAAAAAACGGCGCAACATCTGGGCTTTGGATCCCTGTGTGACCCGGTCATAGGTTTCAGATGGCTTCAAAGCATCAACGGGTCGTGGTTTTGGAGTTTAGATCCCAAACAAACACCTCTCCAAAATGATCAAACGTGCCTCATAAGATCTCATAAGCATGGCAATTTCGGATTGTGGCCAGTTTCTGGACATATGATATGGTCCCTTTTATTCATTGCTTGAATTCCAGTTAAATCCATTATTTTTGGACACACCTGGATATGCAAATTGCGTACTAAGGCTACCCATACGTATGTTGATGGGTTAAATCCTTTGTTTTGATGGTCAAATCGACCTGTTTTCTGGGTTCAATTCTTATTCTGGCTTAGATCCACATCTTTTTTTTTTTCATGGAAGGCAACCGGGGTTACCAGATAGCCATAGATAGCCATAGATAGCCATAGATAGCCATAGATAGCCATAGATAGCCATAGATAGCCATAGATAGCCATAGATAGCCACAGATAGCCACAGATAGCCATAGATAGCCCAATTTCTATGAAACAAATCACCAAGGCCTCGATGATCCGTGCTGCCCTGGTGCTCTTGGCCATCCGGGCCTTGGGAAAATCCAAACGCATCCTGCAGCAGCTGCCACCCAACTACCATCGACCCGAGACAGTCCCTGGGCCATAGATATCCATAGGGTTCAATGATTGAAACTTGAACTTGAATTATAGGTCTTGATGGTCTATAATTGGTTTCAATAATTTTGAAATCATGGTCTGCTACAATAAATTGATATAAATTTGATTGAATCCACACCTGATACTATGATAAATGATAGAGATTATGGTCTACAAATCCCCAAGAACATGCGTATAACATGGGTTCTTGACGTTTTATAGTTGGGTTCTTGATGTTCTCAATATTTCTTAGTGTTCTTTTTTAAATCACTTCCTCCAAGAAAGAACCAAAGGAAGCTTATTGAAGGGATGGGAGTAGCAAACCATCCCCAAAAAAAGGGCTTCTGAAATTGGGATTAAAAATGATCCCCAGGTTGGTTAGTGGGATGGCTTGTGGCACGTTTACCACCGGATAACATGGATAACAAGATTACAGTGGAAATGGGCATTTACCCTCCAAACATGTTTGTTGGGGCAGAAGAAACGATTACGAGGCCTTCGCACATGAGTTTTCGTGCTGATTCTGGATCAAACACTTTGGACATTCACCAGCTGCTGGATCACGCTGAAGCCAAGGCGGTGATTTTCTTGATGAGGCTGGCGGCGGTGGCTTTCGGTTTCCATCATTAACTTTTTGTGGGGTCGCATTCCCTTCCCCTTATATTTCAAACATTCCCAGAAAGCTTGATATCTGATGTATATTTGATGGGAGTCTGTATGCAATTTTGGGGTCTGAACGACATGGGGGCTGTTGAAAAGCGGCCTTGTAGTGATGTTGTTGGTGGCAAATCTTCATTCCGGCGCAGTGAGGACCTATCCGGATGTGGTTCCTTCAGTGAAGTCTTTGGACGAAGAAGAGCTGGAACTGATGTCTGAAGCGTTGGAAGTGCACAAGGACTGGGGATACAGCAAGGAGTTATATTAGTTCTATGCAGTTTGAAGATCCCAAAAAGCCAGGTACTGGTCCAACAGATGTATCCGATATTTTGATGTGCACATAAGCTGTTTGCAGAAAAAAAGGGACATTTAGTACTGTGATGGTGATGGTATGTGATGGTCGAACCCCACCAGGTGTCAGATGATCCCGCAGTCCGACTGAGTTTCTTCAGGGTTTGGCGCCTGAGGACTTCAATTTGGCTCAGATGCTACAAGGAGAGAACGTGCCCGCCAGCGTCTTCCAGTTACAGGTGGGGATCGTAGGGCTACAGCGGGCTGTACTTGGTGCATCCCAGTAGTGTTTTGTTTTCCATGTGGGTATAGTATGGATCAATACCTATTAATACCATTTTTAGGGGGATGAACATCCATTTACCAGCTATTTTGATGTTCACCAGGGGTACAAGATTTTGACACACTGCCATGTATGTATATGCAGCTATTATATGCATATAAACTGAGTCATTTTAATTCATTTTATATGTTTATTACTCACTTAGAATTCCTGGGATGGACATCCAGAGAATCCATGTGGGGCGTTTTTTGTTTGTCTCATGGCGAGGAAGTGATCAAGCGCCTTGGTATGGAAATCTTCAGGCGGGTCCGAAAGAACAGTGCAAGGAGTTGAGGTCTTGATGCGCCTTTCAGAGGCTTCATATCCAAAGAGACATCAGAGACAAAGATATCGAATGCTCTAGGGTTTCCTTAGGATTTCAGAAACCCAACAAAAAATTGTCAGATTTTTCCACAGCTTGGCGTTTTCGATCAGATATGGCTATGGATCAATACCTATAGATACATTTTTAGTGGGATGAACATCCATTTACCAGCTATTTTGATGTTCACCAGGGGGATAGGGTTTGACCCATCCCCACATCAGTTTTTCCATCATCTTCGAACTCTTCGAAGCCGCGCCCCGGACCCTGCTGCGATGTGAGATTTTACATCCTCTTCCTCTTGGGCTTCATGAGTGGCCTGGCAGGTGGCCAAGGTTCCAGGCGCGGACGACAAACAACGTGCTTTTTAGCCAATGCCGGTCGCCATAAATGTTCATAAACATGAATATTATCGGATAAGACATGATAAGACACCATCCCCCAGAACCACCATTAGTGGTATCATTCGTGGTATCCTAAGTATCTATAGTAGGATTATATTTTTGTATCCTAACTATCCTATTAGACACCACCCAATAAACCCCAAAAATATGGATCTCAAAAATCTAGAGGTTTCCCATGGTGGCCCATGGTGGCCCATGGTGGCCTCGGGTTTTTCTCCATCCCCTCCCTCTTCGCTCTTCGGACTCGGCAGGTTTATGACGGCCAGGAATGCCGGCTCGGTGATTGCGGGCGTGACGACCTTGCTTCATATCCTGGACAGCAGCCCTCAAGCCATCTATTGGAGTAAGGGAGACCCAAGATCTCCGAAGGGTGCTATGAACGCAGTTCTGAATGCAGCATAAAAATAGTATAACAATCATATAAAAATTACTACACAAATTGAGCTTACATGAAATAATGAAGAAGCATTAAAGCCAAGTAAACCCAACATACATCTAATAGTAAGGGATGGCAAGCGTGGTAGCCCAGTTGTGAGGTCGCCGTCATAAATCCGAGGCTACATCGAGCTGAGAGCGAGACAGCTGAACGGTATCCCCTGCGGCAGTCCGGAGGTCCATGGGCACGGGATACAGATAGTGGTGCCATGCAAAATGGGGACATGATGGGACATGTCAGATGTTCAACCAACATCAGGGATTAATGGATACTTCAACCAACATTAGGGATTAATGTATCCCATTACATCATATTACATCCCATTACATCCCATTATATAAGTGTCCATTAAAATGGGATACAATGGACATTGAATGGGATGTAATGGGATATGCCCTCGAGGAATTTTTCGCATGGCAACGGGAGATCCGTGAAAGTCCCTTCGTTTTTTTTTTCAAATGTAGGTTGCAATGGGAGAATGATCCAAGTTGGAATGGAGATGGGGACTTAATTAACATCTTCAAGCAACTTTTTTCACCAACCACATTGGAAATTTTCAATGGGGGTATCATTATAACTCTCAACTTGACAGACGACTAATGGTTGTAAAATGGGACATTTCAGGCTGTTTGCAGTGGCATTTCACAGGATCAAAATGAAAAATCCATGGATCTCCGGGACGAAACTGGGACGCAGGACATGGCATTGGCGAGACTTGCTTGCCTGGCACGTGTGCAGGACCTGGTGCCATCAAGATTTAGGGATGAAGCATGATGAAACTGCTCTTATTTTGTTTGGGGATCTATATTTTAAATGTCACTGTCGTGCCTTTCTGCCTTGTGCTGGTGGGTGCGGTGTTCTTGTCCGCTCCTGCCTGCGATCAGCTCCTGTGGGCGTGGGCTTCTGGTCTGTGCCTGTGTGGGGTTGGCTGGTGGGTTGGTTTGGTTTGGTTGTTTTTTTTATTTCCCCCTTTTTGTTGGGGTTGTGTGGTCTCTTTGGCGGCCTTCGGCCGTTTGTTTCCTTGGTGTGGTCGTGTTGGCATCTGCTGCGGCGGCTGCCCTTCACCAGTGCGCGGTCTACTTGGGGGCCGTTCACTTCACAAAGTCCACACAAAATAAATGTCACTGTCACTGGTGTTTTCTGGATATTTGTCTGGGATCATCGAGTTATATAGGATGTCTCAGGCTGATTTTTAGGGGGTCTGTGGGTGAATCCTCTGCAATTTCCCACGTGTTTTTTTCAGCCCAACCACCATTGAGCCAGGATCAAAAGGGATTCAAATCCCTCCGGCAGAGCTGGGAACTCTTATGGCTTCGCGAAAGAAATACCTTGGTTGGGCGACCAAGTCGTGGTTGGACGTTTTTCGATGTGTCAAGGATGACACAACTAGAGCACTAGGTCACTACTTGTAGATTTTTGGTGACGATTTCGTCACAACTGATCCCTTTCCCGTTGGTGTTGCTTGGGGAAAGGTGATGTTTGCTGTCTGCAGCTGTTTAAAGATCAGAACTGCTGAACAAGATCTGACATTTTGCTCTTGACCGGGTGCCGGAGTGGGCGGGAGGTAATATTTACAGCCCCTAAAGTGCCCCCCTCGGCACATCAGCAAGGTGCGTCACTTCCTTGCTGATGGAATTGATGAGCACGTGAGAAGCTTAGTACATCTTAGAGGCGCTTCCAAGAGCTGTTTTTTCCATGGAAAAACCCACCATGAAAGCCAGGTCATTTTTAGTAAAAGTCCCATGATCTTGGGGCTGCCATGGGCTTCCTCTGGCTGGTGATCAGATCATTTGATCTCCAGAAAATCACGCCAAACTACAGGTACCAATCTTGAGTCAATGATGTAAGGAATAGGCCACCAAAATGGACCACAAAAATGAACAATTAATCATATATGTATACATTTTATATACATGATATATATATAATTATACACATTATATATCTATCTTATGTATATAATATACACACATAAGATGTATATGCTCCATCTCCATTGTCCATGCTGCCATAGCCTGCGAGGCCTTTGTGTGCGAATTTCTTCCAGATTGTGTTGCCAAAGCACGTGACAATCGACATATTGGACTTCCACTCCTGCTAGAGGTGACAGTCGACATGGCAAGACCATGTGTCATCATCCCTTATCATGATTTTAATGGTGATTTTTCAGTTCCAAGAGCGTTGTAGCAAGCCTTTTTTCGAGAAGGTCTTTTTACAAAAGCCCAATCCGACTGGAACAACGCCGCTTGGCAGGTTTTGGTGAACCTCATTGAACATTTGCAGGGGGTGGAGATCAAACTCAGCTCTGAGCATCAGGCACTTGGGGACCCTTGGGGACCCTTAAGGGGACCCTTGGGGAATCCAGAAGCCACTGATGGGATGATCAAACACGTCATATCCACGTGATCCGTGTGCAGGGTGTCAAGATGATCAGTGTGAACCTTTCGGACATGGCGGAGTTTATTCCTATCGTGCAGAACAGGCCAAGGGGGCGAATGATTGATCAATGATGATCAATGCAGTTTATTGCCCCAAAACTAAGGTCAGCAAAGGGAGTGTTATATACTGCAGATGTTCAAAAGCTGTGTGTCGTTCCTTTTCGAAGTCGCTTTTGGTCACTGAGGTTCATCTTCAGCACCTGCATCTCCCGCAGCAAGATCAAAATGGAAGATTCTCGTGCCTTGGCACAACTTAGCGTGGAAGGCGGGTAGCTTAGGATGCGAAACCATTGGAGATCCCTAAAAGATACAATGGACCCAAGAATGGCTGGTTTCATACTATAAGACTTACAAAGACTTATAAAAACTTATAAAGACTTATAAAGACTAAAGACATATAAAGACTTATAAAGACTTATAAAGACTTATAAAGACTTATAAAGACTTATAAAGACTTATAAAGACGTATAAAGACTTATAAAGACTTATAAAGACTTATAAAGACTTATAAATACTTATAAAGACTTATAAAGACTTATAAAGACTTATAAAGACTTATAAAGACTTATAAAGACTTATAAAGACTTATAAATACTTATAAAGACTTATAAAGACTTATAAATACTTATAAAGACTTATAAAGACTTATAAAGACTTTTGCTGGGGGCGCGGTGTAGAGAACCTCAACCATACCTTTGCTCCTGACTGACAAATGTTGACAAACCCGATGGCAGGGTAGGTAGATGTAGATAGTTCCCCTCCAGCTCGAGGCCTCGGCCCTCTCCTAAGATGCCGCTACTTGAACTCCCACAATGTGACACAGTGGAACTGACTTTTCTCGTTTATTTTTCTGCACCTTGTCTCGTTCCAATTTAGAAACCTCGGATCCAGGATGGTACTTGCAAATGACCAGTGCGAACTGGTCTCGCACTCACGAGCCGGACAGTGACACGACAACATTGGCCTATGGTGTCAAGGATGGCTGCGGGAGTAGCTGCACTAACATGGCCATTTCCAGGTATCCCGCATCAGACCAACCCAGATTGAGACTGAACTTAGAGAAAGAAGTGATTTAATGAATTTAATGATTTGTCGCGGTATTTAGTATTATGTATGGATATATAATGATGATATATATATATATATATATGCACATATGTATATGTGAAGCGTCTCCTCTATCTTCAACACATGCGTTGGTTGTTCACTAACCATATTTGTTGGTTGATGTTTTCATATCTCTCAGTTAGGTACGCTTATTCGCTGACCATTTGCAGTGACACTGCAATTCTTGTTAGTGTAATTCCTTTGGTTGGGTTTATTTGGATGGTTGGCGACTTGTTGTCGCTGAGTTGCAGGAGCTTCTTCAAAGGCAGAAGTTCATGCAAGTGACTGGGCCAGTTTTCTACAGTAAACGCAACCCAAGTGACTGGAAGAAATGCTTCACTAAAATGCTCATCCCTCTTGTGCTGGACTAAGGAGATTTTAGCGTAACTTGGCAAGAGACTGGCTGTGGCAGGGATACATGAATTCGAATCCCCCCAAAAAGATAAAACAAATAGAACAGTAATTTGTTACTTTTTAAGTAGGATTTTACTTGTCTATCCTTTGGGGGGTGCTTAAAAAAACCATAAAAAATGTGCAAAATCTGTGCAAGTCGACATCCGGTAGTGGCTGTCTACACAGCTTGCCGATCCAATCGATCCACTTGCAGGGCCTCCCGCAAAGATCCATGATCTGAGGGTACCTTTTAGGGGCCTCAAAGGGGCCTTTGAATTGGAGGGAAACATGCCTCCACGGATCTCCAGGATTGGAAGACTTGAGTATCGGCAGATTTTTTCATGTCATTCTCTTAAAGAGGGTCAAAAAGAGACTGCCCATCAGAGAAGACATACTTGTTTTGTACGTACTAGATCGTACTAGTATGTGAAATTAGGTGTATATATCTTGTTGTGATGTCTTTCTAGATTTTGGTCATCTTTAGCATACCATGACATGCCATGGGACGTTCTTGGCCATGACAATCCAATCCTCAAATCTGCCCCCAGTTGCGCAAAAGACTCTTAGTGGAGCGGAAAACAGCGACCGATCCAGAACCGATCCAGAACGGATGCGACCTGAAACGTCCAGCCACCATAGCCACCATGGGGCCCACTATCGCTGCAGGAGTTGGTTGCAGAAGTATCCCGAGATCTTTGAGGTGTCGGGCCAGTCTGTAGCTGAGATCCGAAGATCCTCCGACCGCTGGCAACGTTGGACAAAAGTGGGACGATCCGGCGAAAGTCTCGACGTTTCCCAAGGCCTGGCAAGGAAAGTGTGAGGCTGTTGGTCCTGGACTCTCGAGGCGCCATGGCGATGCTGGAAATCTGCTGGGGAGTCAGGAAACCAGCCAGAAGATGGATGAAATCACCAGCTGATCATGACTTCATGACTGAAAATTGATCACCAACAGCTGATGATTTTTGAATATTTTTTCACAAGCCAATTTAATCACCATCAAGATCCATCAATGATCAAATCACCAGCTGATCATGACTTTGGGGCTGAGCCAAGGTGGCAATGGTTGCAACCAACCGGAGGTTTCCCAAGAGCCGGCGCCAGCATGGGTCTCAACGTCTCTGCAAAACGGTCAGGTTTTGCTCAGACAGGATCCATTGGTACAGAACGATGTAGGTAGGACTCTAAAAACAAAGGTTTGCAAATAAAGTATCCAACTGATTTTATATGTTATGCAAGGTTTGCAACTGTCTGATCATGTCACTAGTGTTGACAATGTGGTTTGCATGAGATTAGCATCCAAGAGTCTGAATGGAGTTGACATGATTTTGAACGCGTTGGAAGTCTTTCACCTGTCTTCAAAAATGATGGATCTTCAAGGTGGGACAGCAGCCGATGTCAGGCCTTTGATTTTGGCTCCGCCTTGGATTGGGACACCGATCTCTGTTTGGACTCTGGGTTCACATTTCTGAGTCACAGAGATCTCTGGGCCAATGTGAATTGTGATCACAGGTCAGTCATGTCTTCGGAAAAAAACATAGCTCATAGACACCATGACGGATGAATCATGATCCATGTATTGTGAATGTGGTGTCAAGTACACAGAACAGCCCATTTTTCACCTCCTTCGTGCCAGCAGCGGAACTGGAACTTGCTAAGAAGCGAGAGGATGAGGACAATGAGCCAGGGCCCTGGGGCGCACTGATCTTGTGATCAGATCTGTTTTATTTTTGACACATCCAGATTTTGACCAATCTGCAAAAATTGGGGGTGCTACTTTAATAGATTATACTGTACTGGTAGAAGGATGACTCACCAACAAATTTCTTTGTTCATCTCACAGTAATTAATTTTTTTTGTTTAGGGAACATTTTGGGAAGACACAAAAAGATTGGCCGTCTCGACCTCCCAAAGCAAGGTTTCTTGATGAGGAACGCTGGTGAATCATGCAATGGTGGGGAAAACCAAATGCCAAAGGGGATGATTTGGATAGTTCCGTCTGACTGTTGATGATTATCTTGTGCCCATCATCTTACACATCTCACGTGTAACATATATATATATATATGTATAATCTTATATATACGTAATTATATATATATATATATTATACATCATACATTATATAGATCCTATTCTCGTACATATTAATTATACATATTCTTCATTATAATGTAGTAATGTATATCATAATCTACATCACACACACATAATTATATGTACTGTATATATACACATGTATACATACACATACACGTATACACATACATATCACCAACTTTGAATGCTACATATGATTTGTAGGATGTTCCCTCCAGGCTTCTTCCTGGCTGTTCCTCAGGTCCGCAGTGCAGCTCCGGGGCTTGCCATACCGTGCCACGACGCAAGATGTGAAGGACAGGGCTGAGGTTTGTTCGGTCAATGGATTGGTTTTGTTGGGAAATTCTACAGGAAAACCCCTATATTTCATGGGAAAATCGATGGCTTTTCCGGATAAGATATGTTAAGATTTTCCCAACAAAACCAATCCATTGAGAATGTCAGGAGCCTAAAAAAGGGCGTACCGTACCGTACAAGGCCATATTTCCTGGGGATATTCTCTGAATTTTTCGGCCTTACGAAGGCCTCATATGTGATAGGTACCTCCGATTTAGGTGAAATGGCCATTGATTTTTTTGACAACCAAAATGGGTGGGATTCCATTGGGATGCGATTGCCATATTATGGGATTAAGGGACATAGAATTATGAACTCATGATTTTGTCCTGTTTGAAACTGGAGCTGTTGGAATATAGTGTATATGTATGCAGACCTACATCCAAAATGCGGATGCAACGGAGATTTAACTATGATGGGATTGATGGTGATTTGACAAACTGAAATGGTGAGCTACCTAGAAAATGGCCAGATGTGTTTGTCAACAAATTTGCCAACATGAATGCACATGGGTGACGAATACTGGACATACCTGGGGCATGTCATGGAATTACTGTAATGGAGATCTAAGAATGCTGGTATAACCAACAAGATGGAATAATTATACACACTTTTTGTAAATTTCGGATTTGGGAATGACAATCCACAACTACCAGCTTTTTGGGTCTGGCTACAATGTATACAAATGGGGCATGATCAGCGTTTCATGTCCATCAAATCATGTAGAAATCTGTTTAATCAGAGCATTGAACCCCTATGTTGGGATAATCTAATGAATCTAATGCTCATGACCAAATTTGTGGGTGGGCCACTATCGTTGACTAGCCAGTAGCCAAATGTAAACTGTAATTTGAGCTGAACTGGCAGGATTTTACTTTCTTTGATCTGACTCGCCAAGAACTCTCACGCCTTTGTACAGTATTTCAATATCTTAACCCTCTTCCGCCAGAACTTTCTGAAGCATCATGCCAAGAATCTGAAGAATGACCTCAATGCGGTGCAGGTGCAACGGTTCCCTGCAACTCTCATGGCAGGTTTAGCGATTTGCTGCCAAGAATCAAGCATGTATATGGAGAGGGGGCTGAATACTTGAGATCAAAACACGGTGATTCTTCGAAATACTCATACTGCTCCCTTTGCTCCCATTATTGCTGGTCATATTAGATAATACATCGACACATCCCAACCGGTAACCATTGGTGACAAAAAAAACACCATGGACTCGCTCTGCCAGTTGGTTCTGAATCGTGATGGACGCCCTTCCGGCTTTGGTCGTGTACAGTACCTTGGATTCTGGATGATTCTGGTGGGATGGGATGGGCTTGATGCAAATCAATGGTGAAAATTCTCATGGTATTTTTTCTTTTACATCTTTTACCAAATATGCGATTTTACAGCATTTTACGATATTTTACTGGGGAAATATGGGAAATTGGGTAAAACTCATGAGATTTTGGTCTCCCAAAACGAAGCCACAGGGGGAATTGCGATTGATACTGTGACATTGTGACACTTATTGGAAGAGGCTCAAGAGCCAACCTGACCAAAGCTAGCTGAAGGTCATTGCGGTTCAAGTCTCTGTAGGGAAGTTCAACATGCCTGGTGGCCTAAAAATCAATGGATTTTTAATTTAAGAATGTTCAAGAAAACAGAGGTGTTAAGCCCCTGGTAGGACTCAATGCGTTTCATTTCGGAAAGAAGCCGCGCAGGTGTGTTGTTGGCCAAATTTTGACATGAAAAACAATCCCCTCAACCGTTACCATCTCCATCGATTTCACAATGCAGGTTCAAGACCCCAGAAGCTGCACGCCATTGCCGTGATGAATTGCAACTTGGAATTGGATGATTTCGTTGATAATCTGATGTTGAACGGTGTTCAAAACCCCGGTTGATGATTAGTTGGGGGATTCTACTATCCAATGTATTGGGGATTATCACAATCCATGATGGGAATCCCGTTCTCAACCAGCCAGTATAGAGGGACAACACTGCTCACATGAGCTTTCAGTATCTCTTAGTCGCATTCCAGAGATGGACACCTAAATGATGTGATGTATGTGATCTATATATTAGTTCCAGAAGTTGCGCTATTGCGGCTTAGAGATGAAAGCTGTAAAGTCTGTATGATGTGCCCAAATGGGTGTTTCTCAGAAGCGATGCTTTCACCACCCGACTGGAGTTTGCCTCAGGTAGCCTTTCATTTAACAATGGCTGGCTGGAAATTCCATGAAATGTTCGAACGTTTAAATAGGAAAATCATCTGTAAGTGGCTAGTAAGTGGGGGATTATCCAGCTAGCCACGTGACTGATTGTCGGAGGGTATAAGTTGTTTTATGGCTGAAACATGCTGAAACTGTTTCCTATTGCTTCCCTGGGCTGACCTCAAAGTATCTGAGGCACATGCGCGTCATGGAGGCTGGATGTGGCTGGAACAGCACCTCCAAAAGGTTCTTGGGACATCATACAGGACGATATCATGCCCTCTCAATGGTTGGGTGATTTTGGAAGGAAACAACACGAGTCCTCGTCGGGAGTATCCCTGAGTTTTTGAGACATTCCGACATTCCTTTGTGAAATCCAACTGTCTGAAGCGTATTTTTTCAGTTGCGAGCATCTGAATTTGCAGGTGTCGAGTACTGAGAGGGGTCCTGATCGAGATAGAGGGGACCGCAAGGGGGAAAGCTGCATTCTCCGCGAGTCCATTAGCGGTGTATCTTTTGGACCCACAAAAATAGCAATTTTTAGTGGTGCTGAGCCATCTATTTTGGGGAATTGATTCATCATTTTGACATATTTTGACCCATTCCCAGTCCAAAAATAGGACCCCAATTCGTTGCGATTCTTGCCATTTTGATGCGGAAAATCATGATCAACACATTCCCATACCTTCATCTTTGCTGGGTAATGTCCCCATTTTTCCTGTTCAATGGTCAATATTGGTCAATATCCCTAGCTATTTTGCTGCCCCACAGCATCCCAGTCGTTGCTTCACCGAGACCGCAGGACCGCTATGTGGAGATCTTTCTGTATTCCGAGCGGCCAAATAAGTTGAGGTTTAAGAAGGCCTGGACACTGGAGCTGCGGCATCTCCAATGCATCTTGGGCTGAACTTGATGCCTGAATCATTTGATTTTTATTTGGTGGTGACTGGAACATGAATGGATGATGACTTCCCCAATAGCTGGAATGATAATCCAATCTGACGAACTCCATCATTTTTCAGAGGGATTGTTCAACCACCAACTAGTTTGAATCTTGGCCCAAATTGATGTTTCGGGCTGTGTTTCTTCAACAACGCGATATCAGGAAAATTCATGAAAAGTCCCGTTGCAGGCCGTGGGTGAAGCGAGCGAATGCCAAGAAGAAGAGATTGAGGCGTCGTCTATCGGCCATACTGATCCATGGGGGTGCAATGTTAAGTTATAATTGGATAATATTGAATATACAACCATATACAGTTATAGTATGCTATAGTCATAGTGGTTAAGTTAAATATGGTTAAATGCCAATTTTGTGGGACCAACTAGCCTGGTCATATAATGTTATATAATTATATATACATATATATATATATGTACCATATCATGTTATATTATATATAACAGAGTTTTTTTTTAAATATGGGCCATATCCAACAGTCTGACCCCTGGCGTTTTTTGGCCGTTCGATGTCAGGCCTTGGGTATCACCAAACAACACGTCCTTGACGAATGTCGACAGTCTCCCTGGCATCATTTGATGTCGGAGGGGGGCGATGACTGTTTCTCCATCAATCAGAGAAGTCCCTGGGAATTTTTGGCTGAAAGAAAATCATGACATACCACATACACTCTGAAATTGATGGTGATGATGATGATGATGATGATGATGGTGTAATCTATGGTTCATTCTTTTGCTACACATCAATTCTCTATCAATATGCCTATGTTTGTATGGAGGATTCATACTACATCCTTCCAGCTCATTCTTTGCACACTACTATATAGGGTAACACATATTCATAATTTGGGCCCTTGAGCATGAAAGGCACAGAGTGCATGTCAGAGAAAAACGCTTATGGAAACTCTAAATGCCTCTGGTTTTGCCAGCTGACTTGAAGTTGAGCTTTCCACTGAGGCACATGAGCATGGAAGGAAAAGCCAAGTTGCTCCTGAGTATGTTGGGGGCCTCAGGAGGCAATGTGTTTAACATGGTTTAAACACTGAAATCCAGTAAAGGCTTGCGATTTACACATTCCTGAGCTCCATGAGCTGCGAGGCTGGGTGTGGCCCTATCTCCAGGCTCTCGCTTGTGCGCTTGGGACATTTCTTCCGGTGGTACCTTCATTTTTTTTTAAACCCAGAGAATGGGATGGGGATGGGGATGATGATGATGATGATGATGCTGATGCTGGTGGTGCTGGTGGTGGTGGTGATGAGGACGACGATCCCAATTAACAATAATTTCCAGGAGGTTGAACGTGAAACCACCAACCAGTTGTGTCTTGTTCTTCCCCACCATTTTGTTTGAAGGGGGGTTCAGCCAGTATCCCAGTTGGAGGCATAAACTATAACTATGGGAACACATCGGAACCCCCTAATATTTGGGTGGTTCATATATTTTCTCGACAAGACCCAGTCATTGAGGGTAATAATCCCAGATAATCACCATGTTTGCCAAATAATCGCCATCTTGGTTGGTAAAAACCCAGATTTTGTTGGGTAAATCTCTATTTTGTGGAGGATCCCGAAGCCATCATGGGTTCAATACTGAATATGGTCAAAAAATGTCAACATTGGGTGATGCGGGGTATCCCTATTTCAGTAAACCTCCAGTTGAATATGTATATATATATATAAACAATATATATATATATAATGATATGTAATATCTATATATATATACACGTATACAATATAATATAATATAATATAATATCATACAATATAATATAATATGATATATAATATAATATAATATAATATATAATATAATATAATATATAATATAATATAATATATAATATAATATAATATATAATATAATATATAATATAATATAGTATAATACAATATAATATAATATAATATATAATATAATATAATATATAATATAAGATAATATAATAGAATATAATAGAATATAATATGATATATAATATGATATATAATATGATATATAATATGATATATAATATGATATATAATATGATATATAATATAATATAATACAATATAATATAATATAATATATAATATAATATAATATAATATAATATGATATGATATGATATATAATATGATATATAATATGATATGATATATAATATAATATAATATAATACAATATAATACAATATAATATAACATAATATAATATAAAATATAATATAATATAATATATAATATATAATATATAATATATATAATATATATAATATATAATATATAACATATAATATATAATATATAATATACAGTCACCGACAGAATTATGGAAAAAAAAACGTTTCAATTTACAGGCGCCGCCTGTCTATGATAGAAAAGTTACGAACCTTTTTTTTTCCATAATTATTTTTTCCATAATTATTTTTTTTCCCATAATTCTGTCGGTGACTGTATTACCATCGATTCGCAATTTGAATGCATTTTAAGGGGGAATATTGAATTATAGAAAAAAACGGGTTTGAATTGTGGATCCATGACATGTCCAACAGGTGGAGCCCCAAACATTAATTATGGAAAAAAAAAATATGGAAAAAAATAATTATGGAAAAAATAATTATGGAAAAACCGGTCAATCTGCCCTAGCCCCCTGATTTCACAGGAAAAATCAATTATGGAAATAATGGCCACCTCCAAGAATTATGGAAAAAAAAGGTTCGGATCACTTCCGGGATATTTTGAACCCTTATGGGGAAAAATCCAATTATGGAAAAATCGGACGCAGGCGCCGCCTGTCTAAGTTGAACGTTTTTTTTTTCCATAATTCTGTCGGTGACCATAATATAATATAAAATATAATGTAATATAATATAACATAACATAATATAATATACATATTCTACAAACCAATGGTGTCGGGTATCCATATTTTAGGAAACCTCCAGATATCCACCAAGCAGTGCAGGTACTTGAAGAAGACGGACCAGGGCTTGAAGCATTTCCTGTCCTCGCCACTGGGCGAAGTGAAGGGCTGGGGCCGGGAGTTGGTGGTGCCATGAAGAGTAGCTGTGATACATAGATTAAATGAGCAGTGTTCGAAACCCCTGTTGCTTGATGATTATAGGGGATTATACTACCCAATATCTTGGGGATTCTGATAGTCCAATAGGGAAATCCCAACCAAGCAGAATATAGAGGGATTTTGAACACTGCTGTACTCGATTCCATTACCACCCCTTATCAGGTCCATCCTATTGGCAGTTCGACATACTCATGGCTCTGTGCGGCGTGTGGCTGCCGTGGTGCGAAGTCGTCACGCTAGACGCTAGCTGCACATTTTGGATTCACAGATAAATATTGCTTTCATTTGTGACTCACCATCGCAATTATAGAGTGTTTCGATGAATCTCTATTGGGCAAACCACAAATGCCCCAAAAAAATATGAAAAACCATCATAAACAATCAGTTCTTGAAGATATAAAAATGATCATTTTACTGTATATCATTTTATACTGGTTTTCGCAGTGGTTTTCAGTATGAGCTACCTACATGCATGGTGACAATACAATCGTGCGCATAAACATATGACTTAACATATAAGAAAGATAGAACGTCAGAGATACAATTCGAAAGAAATATAATATACAGTAATATAATATAATATAATATGATATGATATAATATGATACAATATGATACAATATGATATAATATGATATAATATGATATAATATGATATAATATGATATAATATAATATGATACAATATATATATATATGTATATACATATACGTACATACACAAAATATACACGTGTGATACTACACATTCCTGGACTCATCACCCAAGATTGTCCCAATCGCGCCGGTGCTGTTTTAGGTGTCCCAATGAGTTCAGTGTCGATGGTTCCAAGGGTAGGGAGATCATCACGTGACCTGCGGACACGGTTGCCATGCGGTTGCCGGTGGTTGTGGTTAGGGCTTTTAATTCTATCAACCACCAGGGGATTTCCAAGAGTTTCCCATAATTGGCCCATATATAAATGGCATATATAGTTTAACCCATAAATGGGAAAATCTTCTCAAAATGGATAGTGAGTAAAATGGATTTATAAATGGAAAATCTAACCAGTAGTCAAACATAATGGGAAATCCCCAGCAAAATGGAGGTTCTAATGCTGGACTTTCCAGCGACGTTTGATGACCTTTTTGGGTATCCAAAATTCATGGGAAACTGTCATCCATGAACTGCGGATGATGATTACAGGAAGATTTGCTATAAGCTTCATTTACCTGAAGATTATTGATGTGATGGTTGATTGATGGGTAATATACCTGAAGAAATGGTAATAATGGTGGGATTATTGATGGGTATATACTATTGCAAGATTATTGATGGTCTTCAACTATTTATTGCAAATGGGAATATACCTGAAGATTATTGATGTGATGGTTGGTTGATGATTGGTTCAAGGGTCATACAAAAATCCAACATTCATTAGCGATTTTCACATCATCCATGAACTGGGAATCCCTTTCTTATCCAACCAGTATTTTCCGTTTGAAATATCTAGGACATGGACACTTCCCTCTTTTCCCAATTTTTGGAATGGCGGCCATCAGTTGGGGAACGCTGAAAAAAACATGCCTTTTTTGGGCTTTCCAAACTTATTTGGAACATACCCATGATATTGTGTGCCGCGTTTGTTTTGAAAGAGGATGTTCGGACCAGAAAGTATGAGACAGGACGGTCACAGTGGACCTACTGTACCTCACTGTGTGTGCTCCCAAAGTACTTAGAATGCAGTAGAAGACTGAAACAAGATGCCAGATACATCACTGTTTCATTTGATGTTTATTTCCATGTTTTTCACCAGTGAAGCTCTTGAACGAGGTACCTGCCAGCCTGCAAGTCTGAGAGCCACCCTCCCTGCCCTCCCTCGGAGGACTTATCAGCAGGGATCATCTCAGTTGATTTTCCAAACTCGCCCAATGGTGATCAGTCCTCAATATTACCGCAAAAAAAACTTCCCCAAATTTTAGGTTTGCAGCATTAAATTCATTAGGTTCACAACAGTATGATTTTCTGTGTTAGCCCCAAACAAGTAGATATGCGAAGCACTTTCATTTGCAGAAAGGCCTCCCTAGAAAGGCAAGCTAGTTTATGCAGCTAGCCAAAGCAGGATTTATGGCGGATATCTATAGTATTCTACAGTTACATGGGGACATGGGGTTATTTATAATTGTTTATATATATATATATAATATACATATACACACTTATTATCAATATACTTATTTATATAGTTGCTATATCTATCGTGAAAGTTTAGATGTCGGACGTTTTTTGTTACACCCCAAGGCGGGGTTTCAGAAACAGCGCAGGAGCCGGTGAAAGTGGAGCCCATGAAGATGGAAGCGATGGCACCTATGGAGAGCCTCAGCCTGCCGCCTGGGAGCCCGAAAGATGGCAGCTGGGTTTGGATGCATAGATGTCCTTTTCCCATTGGTTGGTTGATTAATAGAGGGTTTGAAACTACCCCTTTAACAAGAGGTAAATGATGATAGATGGTATACCAAACCGGCCCCTCTATTTTTACCAAAAGGACATTATTGTTTGGATGTGTTGCTAGAAGATGCTTGGTCGATGCCATCCAACTTTGGTTTTGACTAAAAGTAGAAAAAGACATCGGTTTCAACCCGGCGGGCTGTGTAAACCAACCTCCATAATTGTAAACTGTAAACTATAATCATCGGTTGTTCTCTATTGATGACCCATTACTTCCCATTTTGAAGGGGACAACCGGCAACCCCCCTTTCACCGGGCGCTAGGCCTCTGGCCGTAAAGGCTGCGCCAAGCCAAGCAATGCCAAAGGCCAAGGCGGGATCGAATGTCTACTACAAATATACATATTATTAGTATAGATACTCTATAGGCGGGGATAAATAAATATACACATATACATATTTGGCGGGGATACTTTTTTTTTTAAATATATATATATATACACATACTACAGTAATACTATTAGTATAGTACCTATATATACCTATAATATATATATATATATATTACACGATATATTGGAGAATTGGTGACATTTTTCTAAAACAGATGGTTGTGTGGTGAGGCGGCCCAGGGTCGTCAAGTCTCAGCCAGAAAAAAGCCACAGTTAAATGCCCCAATTGAGGGATTTTGGACATCACCTCCATATGGTTGGATATATATATATATATCATATTATATAATATTATATCATACTATATTCTTATTATATTATATTATATTATATTGTATTATATTGTATTATATTCCATTCCATTCTATTCTATTATATTATTATATTTTATTATATTATATTATATTATACTATATTATATTATATATTATAGTATATATTATATATACATGATATAATTTATGATATTATATGTATTATATTATATATTATATTAAACATTATATGTATTATATGTATCATATATTATTATTATTATTATTATTAATATATATTGATCAACATCATGTCCCCAATGGTGGATGTTCAACTTGGAGTTGAAAGTTGATATCACATGTTGTGTGTCAGCATTTATCCAACTATTTTAAACATCAAATGTTCAATCCATAGGGATTTACATACCCATTGCAAGGATTTCTGTGAGATGGATAACCATAAACCAGATACTATATATTTTGATTCCTAGCACAAATGGTTTATCTTTGAAGGCGACATTTCACGAGCCTTGTTTTTGTGAAACCAAGTGGGTGACGACTGGAACATATTGGGAAGGCCTCCTTGCCGTTGCCAACAGCCTCCCCGGAGTCTCCGCAACTCGTTCGAGAATCCATGCTGTTCTTGTTTTGAAAGCTGTTAAGAACGAGTCAATCATTGCGGGCAGCGCCATTGTTCTATATATATATACGTCATTATAATATAGATATAAAATGATAATCATGATTCTGGTCATCACGATCATCCTAGAATCATCATCCAACACACCACGCATGGGGACATCATGTTGAAGCCTTGCTAAGGATGGCATGCGCACCCAGCAAGGCGGTTTCGCCCATGCCCCCAGGGTCGTGCCCTTGGTCAGAAATCCAGGTTTTTTCAGGTGCCAATAGAAGGGGGTTACCCTCTGGTAATAGTTTGCTAGGGAAAATGGCACATTTACAGATCATTTACCCATTGAAAATGGTAAACTTTGCATAGCAAATTGTTCGTCATTACCAGAGGGTAACGCATTTTCCTAGGGCAGGATGATCTTGGAAGGGGACAACACTTTTTTTTTATATCAACTACAGTCTCTACAGTGTGCGATGCAGAGGACTTGGAGGACTTGGCGTTGAGGTCGGTTGAAAGCAACTGTGCGTACTTGGGCACTCGTCGTGGAAGCCAGAGTGCAGGTGGGTGGTGATTTTCCAAAGCACTGATTCGGTGGGGCCCGAAGCCTTGGCAGCGAAAAGCCGCTGGATGGTGGTTCTGTTGATCTTATAATATCTGTAGCCATAAGCATGGTTTCTAGGGAAGAGCGAAGGTCATCCCCAAGTCATCCTGCCTTGGAGGCCCCCTGACTGGCCACATTAGTGACCTGGGAGGCCTGTGAGACCTGGAAAGTCGGCATCAGATTTGATTTAATGATGAACATCTCAACATACTGTGGATGGAAGAAATCCTGCATCACCAAAAGGATGGTTGAGACCCTATAAACAATGGGATGTTTACCGCCTATCAACTGGTTCAGGATTTCGCAACCATCCACATCAACACTCGATGGATATTCTCCGCTTGAGTATGATCATATTCTGAATGAGACGCAATTGTCACCAAGTCTTTTTGTAGAAAGGATCTTTTTTCCCAGTACATCATGACTACATATATCAGTGTATCATTCAGTAATCATTTGGACCTACCCTCTGGATGCCTCTTGTAATTGAATGGTGTGGTCTATTAAAAACCAACCATTTATAATCATTTATATAGATTTGATCATTTTATGATAATTTAGCAATTTTCATAATTTCATGATCATTTAGATATATGTCACTAGTTCATGACTTAAAAAAACATGGTGATTTTTCCGTCACCTTCCGTCACTTTCCATCACTGTCCGCGGCGAACAGCCAGGCTTTCCGCCCACTCCTGCGCCCTTCCCACCGACTCCACAGATTGATGACCTGGTGGGGATCCTGAGTCAGGGAGCAGCTTGGTGAATCATGACAATTCATCCACATGATCATGAATGTGAATGATATATATATATGTGAATGGCATGCAGGTTGCACCAGCATATATGATACTAGCATTACATAGTATTACATAGTATACCATCGTATAACATCGTATAACATCGTATAACATAGTATAACATAGTATAACATAGTTCAAGTTAGCATAACATAGTTTAAGATAGTACAACACAGTATAACATAGTATAACACCTTATAACATAGTATAACATAGTATAACATAGTACTACATAGTATAACATATTATTACATAGTATTACAAAGTATTACATAGCATAACATCGTATAACATAGTATAACATATTATAACATAGTATACCATCGTATAACATAGTATAAATTAGTATAACAAAGTATACCACAGTATAACATAGTATTACATAGCATAACATAGTATAACATAGTAAAACACAGTATAACATAGTTTAACATAATATTACATAGTATTACATAGTATGACATAGTATAACATAGTATAACATATTATAACATAGTATACCATCGTATAACATAGTATAAATTAGTATAACAAAGTATACCACAGTATAACATAGTAAAACATAGCATAACATAGTATAACATAGTAAAACATAGTATAACATAGTATTACATAGTATTACATAGTATTCCATAGTATTACATAGCAGAACATAGTATGACATAGTATAACACAGTATAACATAGTATAACATAGTAGAACACAGTATAACATAGTATAACATAGTAGAACATAGTATAACATAGTATAACATAGTAGAACACAGTATAACATAGTATAACATAGTAGAACATAAAACAACCAACATATACCGACAAAAGCATGGAGTCTTTAAGCAGATTATTTTTTCGTTGGAGAAACTGCCACAGGATCCGCCCTGAGGTCCTTGACATGCCGGTGATGCCCATTGCTGATGTGAAGGAACCAAAGGAACCGGAGAGTCCAAAGGCGACGTTTTCCAACATCGACAAGCTTGGTGCGCCGGAGCCTGGGAGTGGTACAGATAGTGGTACTGGGAAATTCTAGTTTGGAAGATGGATCATGATGGATCATGATGGATCCACATTAAATCACAATTCATCAATGAATTTGCCAGTTTGGAAGATGGAGGGTCGTGTTTAAACTGTTTGGAAGATGGATCTGCATGATTTTTCGCAGTTTGGCAGGTACAACTTTTATGAATACTCCCAGCGATTGGGGCCCGGGTCTCAACTTTTTCAGGATGTCTGTGGCTTGCAGATGCTAGAAGATGCTTGAAACCCTTTGATGGAAATATGGGGAAATCGCTGCGAGATTCCACGTGCTGGCTGCGATGATTCAAATATGTTGCGGCGAAGCATCCTGAGGCACCCCCTTGGAGGTTACGCGCCATCGGCAGTTCAAGTCTCAGTAGGGAGCCATTCACTGAACTATCGAAGTTGACACAATACTCCCATCACAGGGCGATTGCTGTGACGCCACAACGGACTACCATTGCCCAACCGTGACGCTTCACTTCTCAAAGCCATTAAGCTGAACAAAGCATTGATGGATCTTTCCAGATGCATCCAGTTTCTTCCCATGATCAAAGTTTCCAGGTATCCAAAAGGACATCAGATGTCACCTGATACCATCTGATTTACCATTTCTTTGAATCCATTATGGCCACTCTGAAAATTTCCCTGTCGGCGAAAACAACAACAACAGCAACAACAACCACCACAACCACAACCACAGCCACAACCACAACCACAACCACAACCACAATCACAACCCCACGTCATGTGGGTTTGTCTGAAAATAGTGTACCCCCTAAATCCTCAAGGCTAATCATAACTTATAACTTTTTTCATGAAATAGCGATTTGATGGATATACTACATTTTCAAACACACCCAAAAATCAAAGTTGGTTGGTTGGAGCCCTATTATTTCCCATTCATATCCCCATTTTCTGATGGTTATAATTTAGGTATTCCCATTCTTCAACATCAAATTGCTTATCCCTAAGATTTCCCATTCATATCCCCACAAGTTGGTTATACCATGTGAAAAACCCTAGTTTGGTTATTTAACCATTCATTCATATGCCATTGGTATTACCAGGACATATTATTCATATCCCATTCATATACCATTTCTGTCGGTTATTGAACCATCCTCCAAACATCGCGCCGAGTTTGATTGGCCTGGGCGACAACCAGCTCCACGGCAATGCCACGAGCTTGGCAGCTCTCAGCTCAACAGTAGGTGCGGAGGGAACGGAGGCTTTTTAGAGCCACATAATGTAATTTTGAATAGATATATATATATATATATGGATATGTGGATATATACTAATATATATATATAACATATGCATAACATGTATATAACATATAATAGAATGTATATAGCATATATAAAACATATATATATATATCACACATAAGAACAGACACATATATAACATATATATATACATATACAACATATATTATATATATATGACATATATATAACAAACATATATATATATATATGAGCAGGGACCCCCACACCCCCCCCCACCCAGCCAGATGGTTCCCCTCCCCCCCTGTGGCAGGGGAGGGGGGGGGTTTCTCAGCAGCCAAGCCATGGTGTATGTAGTCTTTATAGTGCATATAATGCATATGTATCGATAATTAGAATGGATATACTATATGTAATATAGAGTGTATGTGTAGTGCATATATATATAAACATATATATAATATGTAAGATATAAATCGAATATATGCAATATATATATATATTTATAATATATATATTTGACATATATATATATTTTGAACATATATATATATACATCGTATATGTGGTTTTTAATAGAATATAGATAGTATATGCCACATGTGCTGTATCCACAGTAGATGTAATATATACAATATAGGTAAATATGTTCGTTGAATAAATTTTACATAGTATATGTGGTATATTGAATATCGACAGCAATACACGCTGTATATCTAGAGTTTATGTATATATATATGTATATATATACATATATATATATACGTGTACAGTATGTACAATGTAAACGAAATATGTGATAGATACAAGATCAAGATATCAATCTGTAGTATCTAGAATGTGCATATATATATATATGTATTTATTGTTTTTCTACTGTACATATGTCTAGGTTTGCATAGGTAAGCTTTGCGTAATCCATAGGTAGCAAATATGTTGTAAACCATGTGCGAGGCACGCTATAGGCGGTTCGAAAAAAAGGTTATGATAGAAATATACAGGTAGACAAGGTCCGTTGACGAGGTCGTGGCTCTCAAGTGCTGCAAATAACGTAGAGATGCGAGGTTGGAGGGGTGGAAAGGGGAGTATATATGTGTATATGTGTATGTATATGTGCAAATAACATGCAAATACTAGGTTTTGGGGGGGTGGGGGGGGTTAGGAGTGGGGGGGGGATACCATTGGGGGGGGGGAGGGGGGGGACCCTCATATATACACATAGATAGAACATAGATATAACATATAACACACATATATATATATAACATGTATACATATACAACATATATAACACATAAACAACACACACATATATAACATATATATATATGACACACACATATATATAACATATATATATATACAACATATATATATATAACATATATATATACAACAAATATATATATATATATGACATATATATATATATCATATATAAATAGTTTTTTTTTTTTAAAAAATATATATATATATATATAGATAACATAATATATATATACATATATTCTATATGTATATATATATGTTATATGTATAATATATATAACACATATATAAATATAGAATATATACATATAGAATATGTATATATTTATATGTATATATATATCACATATATATATATTGCATATATATATATATATTTATGTGTATGTAACATACATATATATAACATACGTATATATATATATCATATATATAACATATATATAACATATATATATAACACACATATATATATAACATATATATATAACATATATAAATATATAACATATATATATAACATATATATATATATAACATATATATATGTAAAACACACATATATATAATGTATATATATATATGGCAATATATGGTATGTATATGGTATGTATATGGAATGGATATGGTTTTGTAACGTAGAGCTTTGTATGTATTTATTTATATGTATGATGTAATTGATAGATGTTAAACACAGACACACACACAAAACACATACTAACATGATGTAACAATATATGTATGCACGGTGTGAGATGACGTCCATTACGCCACACTCCGCAAATACACATATACACATACTTGTCACGCATGTATAGATATAGATATGTATATACATATACATATACATAGATGAGATTTGGACTGCTACATGTACATGTTTAAAACATCTTGGGCGACGTGCAGGAGCATCTGCTGAATCGACATCTGCTCCCGCTCTCCCAGCGACCTCTGGGACTGGATCTCAGGGATAGACGTGCCACGTTTGTGGGTGCAATACTGAGGGATAGACAGCCAACTGGAAATTACGATTGAAGTGTTCAATGGGTACTAGCTTTTCGCTTGAGGTATTAGTCGGGGGTGTATCCACTGCAATTTCCCAAGAATCAGCGAACCAACGAGATTTTGGGGAGTTCTTCTACAACCTACATTGATGTGTCAAGAACTTGACCACTCCACTAGTTCAACATTTGAGGGTCTATGGTAATGACCCCCGGAGTGGACTGATTCGTAAGAGTAAACCCAGTAAGGCTCAGGGGGTGGTAAATACCCCATATTAATCCATATTCATAAATCTCTCATATCTTGTATTTTTCTAAGCATCATCTAATCTGTTAAGATGTGCCGATTTGTGATGATTGTGATCGTGACGAGGTGTCACTCAGCAGTGATTCCCTTAACCAACCAATGGTTGATGTGATACCAACAACACTGAGGTTGCCACCTCAAAGCTGGTCTGCATGGGGTATGCCCCCAGCTACCATGCCAGCTCCCTTCTGGTGGGCAATCGCAGTTTGTGTCCTGGACACATGTCCCACCGTTGACAAATAGCTTGGTTTATTTTGGAACATCGAAACCGGAAACATCCGGAAACCATGGATTTTCTCATTGATGGGGGGTTTCCTGGTTCAATTTTCCCTTAAATCAATCCATGGATATGTAAAAAAACGAGTTTCCATGTTTTTGCAGGGCAGGTCATAACTTTCTTTGGGACACACTGGGGGATGCATCCCAGTTTTGGCATATCGCCGGGGTCATGCGCCGTTGCTGGGCTATATTCCATCATTACCCTCTGGTAATTTAACATAGCTATTGAAAATGACCATTTATAGTGGATTTACCCATTGAAAATGGTGATTTTCCATAGTTATGTACACGTTTACCAGAGGGTAATATGTATATAACTAGCTTATTGCGTATGGGTATTGTTGACCGTGAACACCACTAAACATTAAATCATCACTAAATTGGTAAAACCACTGAAAAATCACCAGCAGATGATTTGAATGATTAAATATGATTAAATAACATAATATATATATATATATATATCATATATATATATAATATATGATATATATATATTACTCACAAATTCATCACTTAACTCACCAATCGGTCAACGTCCGGTTGCGCCAGGCCACCCTTGATGTCTGAAGCTCAGTTAAAAAGCTGTCGCAGCTGTCGCTCAGTTATCTGCAAGGCATATTTTCAGATTATATATTTCAATATGTCTCATGTATATACTATGTATATACATATATATATAACTAATTATATAAATACAATAGTTCTACATACATTTGTAGACTTGCACATATACTTACAGAATATGTATGTTTTGTGTTATTTCTACCTTGATGTGACTTCGCACTCAGAGGGTTTGTGGAAGGATGCCGCCTCTCACTGGAGACGCGGCCGCAGCGGCGCAGGTGGGAAAATGGCCAAGGGCTCAAGCTTTTCCAGTATGCTGGTGTCATGGTTATATGATGGTTATGGTTAATGCTGGTTAAGGTTGCTTAATGTTGGATGATGATGATGATGATGATGATGTTTTTTTTGCATTTAGGTACCTAGGGATTTGAATGCGATGTTCAAATCAGTGGTTTGTTTAGGGGCAAGTCGACCCCGAGGGATGCGATTTTGTGATGAAACTTAGATGGCGTTGCCGCTTTTTGGGAAGTATAATCTCTTGATTAGTCAATGTGAATCAGACAGTTATGTTTTTTTTAAAATCAAGCCATGGGGCGATCATTCCCATTAAGAGGGTCCCCCAGGCTCGAAAAATGCCTCAGGGAGCATGAATTGTGTGTGTGTGTTCTTTTTTTGTGAATAACAGAGTAGCCCAACATCTCATTGATATGTATATATATATATACTCTGTTGCGTTATATTACCTATTACTATTAGATTCATATTTATGTACTATATATATATAGATACAGTATATATATATTCTGTATTACAATATGTATATCCGCCACTGGCCGGGAGGCCTTGCGATCTGGCAGCCTGCCAGGCCATGGTGGAATGGGGACCATAAATGGCTGGTAAACGAATAGCCATGGCTGGGAAATGGATGTAAAATGTATAAACAACTGAGGATTGAGCCCACCAGGGGCATGTTGGGCCTTCGGAACCATGGACATGTTAGTATATAAATGGTTGAGAAAATGGAGTTTAATAGAGACATGTTAGTAAATGGCTTACATAAATGGATGTAAATGTAGTAAAACCATGCTAGTAAATGGGACATGTTAGTAAGGCAATAGTACTCAATAGTACACCATCCCCAATCCTACCATAAATGGATGGTATAAAGTGATTTATGACATTGCTGGACTAACAATGAATATTAGTGGTATATGAATGGAATATCGATGAAATACAATCTGGTAATTTAAGATTTTTTTTTTGGTATTTTGCCATGGAAGCCATGGCCCATTTCGTTCGATGAATTACACGAAGCTCCAGATCCATATTTATGGGTCTCCCAAGCAATCTCAAAGCGACGCGTGGCATGATCTGGCCATACCGCTTCGTGCCACTTCCTGGACACCTTTGAGCTGCACAAGCAACACCGTTGCCATCCGTTATCGTTAAACGATGGAAGAAAGATCGATGGCAAGAAACATGAACACATGTAAGATACGTACCAGCACAACCTGTGCATCGCCGTCGCTTCAAACGTTTTTTTTTTTCCGGATTTGAGGGCGACAGCGAGACATAGGTTTTGTGAGTATATGTATATTTTTTGTTGTGTTCAACCATCCCATTTTTGTTGTATGATATAGAACTCAAAAACTGATTGGTTGAAAACCAAACAAGAAGAACCTTTCCGTCGGTCCGTTGAATATTTGCTGAACCAGAACAATGTGGAAGAAGGACGCAACAATACAGATGCAAGGTGGGACTTTGACGGCGTTTCCGCTGTGTTGGATGAACAAAGGAACCTTCATAATTCTCCTGTGGCAACACTTCTGGAGCCACATCAATGCCATGGATCTATTAAAGTGGTTTACTTGTCAATATGTAAATCTTATATAGTTTAAAATTGATGCCGGGGCACTTTACTTGATCCAAATGGCTATATTGGATATATTGGAAGGAAAAACTCACCATGAATTGTACACCCTTTTTATTGAACAGTCATTTCCTGCAGAGTTGGTACAGGAGGCCTTCCATCAGATGGAGCTGCAAGTGCGGCAGCCTGGGACGGACCGGTGGAAAACTGGCGATTTGTTTCATGTGGAGTTTCAACTAGTTTCAACTCCAACAAAAAAACAACCATTGGTCGATGGTGGAAACCTCCATTTTTTTTAACCAACCGTTTCCAAAGCGATTTCTCGAGTTGAAACCGGATGTGGATGACCCCCGATTCGCTTGGATGACCCCCCTTCGATGCCTCGACAAACTCGACGAAACTTGGAGGCTTGCAGATGATGCTGGGCACATTCATGGCCATGAATGGAGGCTCCAATGTCAAATGGTAAGCTGCGTACATGGGGGTATGGATTAGTAATGGATGTTTATGGTTTTGGGTTTTACCATATCAATAGGATTTTCTGGTTTGGGGTATTGTTGGGTTGTTGTTTGGATTCATTACAGGTAGGGGATTATCACATATTGATAGCATAGGTTATCTTCCACAAATCCAGACAACCCCGAACCTGTGCCCCAGAACTGGCCCAATAGAAAATCGAAAAAGGTCCCCACCCTATATTTGATGGGAAAAACATGAAAAAACCATATGATGCTGTTTCCTGTAGATTTTTCCCCCTTGAACACTTTCCATTGAGGGTAATCATCCACAAATACGCCATATTTTGCTAGTTTGTCAGGCTGGCAGCAGCCCTGGATGCAAGAACCTCCTACCCAGCGACTTGTTTTTTTCGATGAGTGGATGGGTCAAGACATTAAGAATATTAAGACATTTAGCCAGCTATCTATATATTCATTTCCAGCATGTAATTATAGATGTATGTACCCTCTGGTAAACTAACATAGCTATGGAAAATCACAATTTTTAATGGGTAAATCCACTATAAATGGTCATTTTCAATAGCTATGTTAAATTACCAGAGGGTACACATTGTGCAGTAATCTGCAGCAATGGTGAAAAATAGTTCGCAGTGCTCATTTTACCGCTGTTGGTAGATGATTACATGGGGTTATACTATCCTATATATATATATGTTATGTACATTATATGTTAATATATATATATATTATATCGTATATATATATTATGTATATTATATAGTATATATTACATATTTTGTACTATATATTATATATTATATTAAACATATTAATATATTAAATATGAGATTAAATGTTAAATATTTTATGTTATATATTATATATTTTGTACTATATATTTTATTTTATATACAATATTATATTTTATATATTGAAAAGGAAATATTAAATGTGAAATATTGTTGTTTATATATTATATATTGTGTATTATATATATTGTATTATATAAACTATATTATATAGTATATATTATATAGTATATATTATATATTATATAGTATATATTTATTATATATTTTATTTTACATACTATATCTTAAATATTAAATAATATATACTCTAAATATTATATATTATATATTATATATCATATATTAAATATTGTATATTATATATCGTATATTATATATGGGGGATTGTCACAATCCAACTGGGAAATCCGTTCTTAACGCAGTATCTGCAGTTGCAGTAGATCACCTGCGAATTTCTGTTGCCACGCTGAGGACGGAGTCCGCGGCAGTGCAGCAAGAAGCGCCTCAGACTGACTTCATCCAGAAGTTGCTGAACAAAGAAATTCCGGTGGGGTCTGGATGGGTGCCATTGGTGTTTTTTGAAGCACTATTCAGAATATGTATATTTGTTATTTGTATATGTACATGTATTATGATATTTAAACATGTATATAGGTATATACATAATGGAGTATATCTACTACATAGTATATGTTGTAATATGAATTACACCTACACATATATTAGTACTTATATATGTTCCAGGTCCTTGCTCCCCCTCCCCCGCTACCCATGGTCATGGTATCCCCCCTCTCCCTCGGTTGGGGTGGGAGGATGCAGATATTGTATAGGGAATATATAATAGCTGGTGCATCCAAATAAGTAGTATGGGTGCTATATGGTAGTATGTATGTATGTAGTATATAAGTAGTGCCTGTGTATTTGTAACTATATTATATAGGTAGCATTTAGAGAGCGAAAAGGTAGTAAATAGGTAGAGGATGCATAGTATTATAGGTAGCAAATAAATGGAATATGTAGGTAGTACAGTATACATACACACGCATATACATATTTGATATTATTCAACTATATTTAGACACACATACATGTATATATGTATCATTAGTATGAGATATCTAGGTATGTGAGATTTTTGGTGGGAAGGGGGGGTACCATAGCATTGGGGGGGAGGGAGGGGGGCTACCAAACCGGGAACCGGGCACATATATATATATATATATATGTGATATATTCTACGTATAAGATATGATTTATTATATATTATTTATATTATAATATCTCTATATATGATATATGATATATATATATATGTATGTATGTATGTAAAGATATAGACATAATATCTGAGACATATTCATCTCCTTGTTCCTCAATGGATTTGCGGTTGCCCTGGACCCTTTTTCATCCCATTGACGCTTGCAGATCCCATCGGAGCCTAAGGCCTGGGGCCTAGTGGTGGGATGTAGGCCTGAAATTTAGGGGAACACCCTTAAAACAGCTAGGTCACCATGATTTTGAGCCTTCAACTTGCCATGAATTTGGGTATATCTTCCATGTTTGGATGCATTGATATATTTGGATGCAGGACAGAACATGTTGGACCTTTGCTCTGAGACCGAGTGAAGCTAGGGCTTGCCAGAATGCCACGAAGAACAAGTAGTGTTTGCAGACTGAAACAGCAGAGTGAAATATCATCAGATCAAGAACTTCGACATCAAAATATGAGTTCCTCCCCGCAAAGTTACAGGTTTTCCCAATCAAACTCCACCATCAACTGCTGGTTTTCGGGCCCCCTTCAGGCTGCCAAAACTCCTTCGTATGCTGGGGGAGCCCAGGGAATTCCCATGGGAAGCTGCTGGGGAAAGCAACGATTGAGCCGACGGGGAGTCAATGGCTGTTGATGCTGGGAACCAACTTTTATTGATGGGATTACCCTCTGGTAAACGTTTACATAACTATGGAAAATCACCATTTTTCATGGGAAAACTCACTATTTCTATGGCCATTTTCAATAGCTATGTGAAATTACCAGAGGGTATATGAATGGATGAATGGATAATCCGTATTTCATGACATCTTGAACATGGGCCAGCGATTGAATTTTGCTCCATGTTTTGTTTCTGATTTTTAAGTGGTTCGGCACTTAAGTCACATTGGAATTTCAGCCAAAGCCTTGCGAAGGGAAGGAACGGCAGTAGATCCACTGCCCCATTGATGGATTTGGCCCATTTGATGCCATAGCCTTGGGCGGTTTGATGGATCCATGTTTCAATGATAACCCAAAAAAAAGACCATCATTTTCCAGAAATAGGGTACCCTCTGGTAAACGTTTACATGACTATGGAAAATCACAATTTTTAATAGGTAAATCAACTATAAATGGCAATTTTCAATAGCTTTTTGTATGTTTGCCAGAGGGTACCTCTAAAATCCAAGAGATATCATCCACAACGGCAGGTCCCTGGATGAATCAGCAACAATCAATGTTTGTTTGGTTTATGATGATCGATATGATGGGTTGGGTTTCTTTTTTTAACCACCAACATATATATATATATATTTATAATTTATAATATAATATAATATAATACAATATAATATGATATATATTATATATATAATTAATATTATTTTATATATGATATATATTATATTATACATATTATATTATATTATATTGTATTCTACTATATATTCTGTTGACAGAGCCAGTTCAGCCAGCTCAGATCCGCTTGCGCGGCCTGCCCTATGAAGCCAGTGAGCAGGATCGCCGAGACTTTGCAGATGTCTATTGGGCTAATAGCCACTGGTAAAATAACATAACTATGGAAAATCACCATTTTTCATCGGAAAATCCACTATTTCTATGGCCATTTTCAATAGCTATGTTAGTTTACCAGAGGGTAGCTCTTGTGAATGTTGATTTCACCAACCCATGGCATAAATCGGGAATACCAACTCATGTCCAACTCATGTTAGCTTCTAAAGGTGTATTGGGTTTTGTGCCAATCTTTGTTCTCAGGTGTCAACCACCCCAAACAACCCAGTTGTAGTAGGTTACACGCCGGTTTCTAACCGTTGGGATAGGGGTCAAAATATGATCACCCTCTCTGATAGAGACTTTAGATAATTATAGTTGTACCCAAATGTCCTAACCTAAACATACAGATATATCATAGTATATCATAGTCTTTCACAGTCCATTTAATTTGGTCCCCCCCAAAAAGTGACGACTGAGTCCTGGCCATGGCCCAGCCAGGACATTTTGGCCTGGATGGCCAAGCACGAAGTGGTAGATCAAATCGTCGAATCGCGGCAAGCGGTGAGAGTCTACAACAAGGAGAGCCGCTGCGCCGCTTTTTTCGCCCATCCGGTGCCCGCTGCTGATGCCATGCAAAGTGGTGGTTGACCCGGTTAGGATTGGGGTAACTCTCCCAAAATGCCCAACATTTCAGCTTGGACATGGGCAGGATCGGAAGATTGGTAGCCCAGAAATTCGCATCGAATCACTTCCAGTTGTTCTCCATGCGAACTCTCCACTTTTTAGATTTGATTCATACCCAGTTGCGTCCAGTTGAAAGACTGGAGATACTCTTAGTTTGGGGACTTGCAATAATCCCCTGTTCCGGCTGATCTTTTGCCTTCGAGTCACATTTCTGGTGCAGAACAATGGGAAGCCCATGGGTGTGGCTGTGGTTGCCCTGAACAGCAAAGAAGATGCAGATTATGTCCTTGAGGCTGGGGGGATTCTGATTTTCAAATGGGATGCTGGATCCTTCGGGCAGAATTTTGGATAGGATATCAGATGGTATCAGGAGATGGCAAGATCTTTTCCAGCCTGGCAAGTCTCTACACTGCCAGATGCCAATTCTTCGTAGCCTGCGGAGGTTCTGAATGGTCAGTACATGAAGAATCGCTACATCGAGGTATTTCATCATATGGAGGTCGGGCGGCGCGTGACCAACTGAAAACTGCTCAGAAGCTGGGCCGAGTTGAAAGATTCAGATGTCTCTCTGAAATTAGCCTCTGGTAATTTAACGTAGCTATGGAAAATCACAATTTTTAATGGGAAAACTCACTATAAATGGCCATTTTCAATAGCTATGTTAAATTACCAGAGGGTAAAAGAGATTATCTGGAGTATTTGATACATAGCTTTGCCAGCAAACATGTGTGGGTCTGCCATGGACATGTCTGTTTCATGGTTTGCTTCGGTCAGGGAGAGGCTGGTACTGACAAGGCTTTTGTGCAAGGCAAGATTCCTGGGAATCTTGGGAATCCTGGGTTGCAACTTATAGATTCAGAACATGGGCAACTTGGCGTCTGTACTTTATGGCACCATATTATGGCATATTATGACTGGTTTCCCATCATCCACTCCCGGATTTTTGTTGCTTAGATGTTTGTTGCATCTGTTGATTGATTTTTGGGCCTCCGATGGGAATCCCAAACCAACTCATAAAATCAGTGTGTGCGCGACGCAGTGTTCATAACCCCTGCTGCTTGATGTTTAGTTGGGGGATTCTACTACCCAATATACATACTGTATAATATATATATGTATATATATATGTAACATGTATGTGTATACATATATAATATGTATGTCAAATATGTGTGTGTGTGTGTTTGGGTATGATCCCAATCCATGTACTGGGAATCCCGATCTTAACCAACCAGCCATTAATGGAATGACCGTACTGCGAAGTCTCGAATTGCAGCACCGCTGGAGCAACAGGCGGCGATGCTGAGGGATGCTGTGAAAACTATGCCGTGCTTGTAGCTGTACAACTTGACATCCAGGTGAATCTATACTACTGCTACTATACATTTCTATACCATATGTATATACCATATTATACCATTATATGTACTCTCTCTCTCTATATATATACATATATATATAGAGGGGTACCCAGCCAGATCAACCGGTTTGACTGTTGAAATTGCAGGCAACTCATCGCAGGCCTTGCTCTCAGCACTGGACAGATGATGTAGATACTGGTTAAATTTTAAGACCAGGCAAATCACAAATGGGTTGGTCAACGTTTAATTTGAATTCCATTAATTCACTAAAGAGGACGATATAGGTCATATAGGTCCAAATGATATCAAATCATCTATTCACTTAATTCACTTAATTATACTTAATTCACTTGTTGATTTAGTTGAATAACTTATGTAACTTATGTAGTACTGTAGCACCATCCCGAGCCGTTCTTGACCCATCCCGAGACTCCGAGACTCGACGGGATCTGGATCTCTGGATCTCTGGTTCTAGCTGTGAGGCGAAGACTGAGCTTTCGGAGGCGGAGAGTTTGGGGCATCCGCCCCATGGAACACATTCAATAAGCCAATGGCAGCAATGTTGAATATCAATGGATTGATGATGATTGATGATGATTGATGATGATTGATGATGATTGATGATGATTGATGATGATTGATGATGATTTATGTAAGGAACATCTTAAAGAAAACTGTTTTTTTTTCCAAACAACATATTGGAGTTTCCTTTTGATTTTTCACCATTTCCAGGAAACCAGACGACTGTGGTTCACTCTGTAAACCGGGCTTCAATAAACCCAAGATGATTTAGTTGGGCAAATAACTTGGCAATTTTGGTGAAACCAATCTGTGACCTGAACTGTGCCTGAACTGTCCATTGGTCTTGTGGTGCAATCCAGCCACATTCTTCAGGCAGCCACAACCTACCAGATATGTGCAGACCTTTGGAGAGTTGATATGCAGATTATGGGGATTCAAACCCAAAGTTGATTCCCCTAAACAATAAGGGCTTGACAACTAATGGCTTCTTTAACCACAAGATAACTTGGGCCCGGCTTGGGCCTTTTCGCCGTGGAAGGCCAGCAAGTTTGAAGGGCTTGGTGATACTGGTGGATCAGGAGGACGGTCAAACTGTCCAAGATGATGTCTCTTACTGTGGGACCATTGAGATGGACTTCGAATCAGAAAGAACGACACCTTTCGTTGCTTTCGAAGAAAGCACTAAGTCACTTTAGTCACTAAGCAACACAAGTGTTCTTCGGCTGTTCCAGAGTGATTTCTTATGAAAGGCATCCCCATTTTCCTCCCATCAGCACCGTCAGGATTTGGAAATGGAGGGTTTGGAAACTCAGCTGTGCTGCCACCTGGGTAGCGGGCAGGGACCCCACAGCATTGGTCCTTTTCAGTATTTTTTAGTACAGTATGAGTTGGATGGTTGAAAACACTTTAAAACAAACGTGTATATATATACATCATCAATGCGTATAATGCATCTATATGGATATACATATATATATACACACATTTATGTACATACATATACAATATACATTATACATGGAGATCAGCATATAGTGAACCATTCCATGGGTCCCATATGGATTCCTCCACTTGACCTCAGGTGGCATATGTCGGGCAGCACCGGCCAGTTTTTGTTGCTAAGTGCGATCTGGGGGAAGTGTACATGATGGTTAGTATGAATGGATGGAAATCCACAGTTGAGCATAGTAGGTTTTAAATAATTCCAAATGTAGCTTTGAAGATTTGACAAAGATGGAAGACACCAGACCAAAGATACCCCCAAAGGAAAAGCAGCAGGTGTGAAAGGCTTGGGTGTGGAAAGGCTGGAAAGGCTTCTAGGTTTTATCCAACCAGAGTCGCACCCCTTTGCCCTGCCAGGTTTGGTGAAGGGCTCAGACTTGCTTACAGAATCATTGAGAATGTCTTGGTTTATACAGTCATCCTGAAGCTTGAATTCCAACAGCATTGAAATCAGATCAGAATGGTGCGGATGAACACTTGGGACCCCCCCAAAACTCCATGCTTTCAACAAGCCATCGATCCTGAGACTGGTGCACCCCGCGGTGGCAGCAACCCACAGACAGATCCCAGCTGGGAGGCAGGACTCCCCAACAAGTTGCTTTGTGGCAAAGACTCCTCATTGTATCAATACCTCTGTTTTTTTTTCAAAAGATCCCACCGAATGCCACCTTTTGGAAGAGATTGAAGTCGAACACTATTCTGAATCTTCTGTTTGGATGAATTCTGAGCAAATCTGAGCCGTGCCACATGCCACAGAGCGTGCTGGATTTCCTGAAGAGCGATGGGAACTTTGGTCAGGCCTCACTGTGCGGAGCCCAATGGTCCTTGGAAGGGCCATGATACAGCCATGGGCCATGGCATGCCATGGCACAATGAGACCCTCCGTTTGATGGTTGCCCCCCGGTGCATCTCAAAATGTCGGATTGCCCATGGATTGCCCAGTTTGCTTTTCGTAAACCATGGTAAACCTCACGTTGCACGTTTCTTGGAAAAAAAATCGACGTATACGGACCATGTGGGAAGACTGCCAGACTCCTTTGGACCTACAGATTTTGATGATAATTTTCCTTCGACCATCCAATTTTGGGGTACCAAAGCTTCAGGCAACACCCAGCAGGCTGGAATGGGGTGGGCTGTTGGTGGATGCCACTGACCTTGTTGGCAGCTGTCCAGTGGATTTTAAGGATTTTTCTTTGTGGCAGACCAATGGATCCAAAGTCTACCCAGCTACCCATCTTCATCATTTTGGATGTTTTGGGTGAAGCAATTCAAGGTCATAGCTTCTTCAACGCATCTTGGCGACGTTCCCGTCTTTTTTTCCGAGCCGCTGCGAGGTTCCGAGAAGCAGCGTCTTGGATGATCCGGGGGAGTCGTGTCGTAGCACTTCTGAAAGGGGGATGGTCAGAAATCCAGAAAACGGGGTGTATTTCTAATGTGGTAAACCATTGGTTAAACCATTGGTTAAACCATTGGTTAAACCATTGGTTAAACCATGGAAAAGCCATAAAACATATACACCATTCTCATACTACCATGATTCAATGATGGATGGTTAGCATCATCCCCAAACGGTAGGTTTATGGCATTGGCTTTAGCACAGTATACCCTTTGTTTAAGGATTCTCAATTCGAGTTGGATGACCATACCCCATTAACCCATATTAATCCCACATGTTTTTGACCATGGTGTATAATATAATGAAAGTCTATCCGCATTTGTGCGATAACCTTGAGATGACATCAGTCGGGTTTCATGTGTTTGTCTTTTACATATGATATATATATATCATTATTATATATATATATATATTATATTATATTACATTATATTATATTATATTATATTACATTATATTATATTATATATATCATTATTATTATTGCTATTATTATTATGATTATTATTATCATTATTATTATTATATACATATTATTATTATTATCATCATTATTATTATAATTATATATCATTATATATATAGTAACTTATATATCTTTTATGTATACACGGTTCTGTACCTGGATCTCTTTCGGGCACAGATATAAACAGATGAGTCGCGTCTCTCAGGTCTAGCACAAGGCCTGGACTTCGAATCGACAGCATGTGAGGGGTGCCAGCCCCTGTGGGGCGCGTAAGATGACGTCCGGGGTGCTCAGGTGCTGAAAACAAACTCGGGAAATGGATGATGATGATGATGATGATGATGATGATGATACTGATCTCTGTCAGTGCTGATTTTCTGGACTAGAATGCCACATTTGCGCAGAAGTCATGGCAAGCTGAGTCACTTCAGTTTCTCCTTTGTGTTTCTGTTGTTTCATAGTTGGAACAGAACCCATTAAAACGTTCTCTCCCCAATTCATACAAATATGGAGCAGAAAACGAGTTGAAACCATGGGCGATTAGAACCTGATAAACATTCGAAACTGCTGAACTTTGGAAGTGGTTGGATTTCACATTTGATGTCTGAAGCCTGCGAGCCGCTCCAGTGGAAAATTGTGCCGAGGCTCCTTTTCAAAAGCGAACCCACGCGAATCCGGGCAGTTAGTTGTTTTTTGTTGGCTCTGCAGTCCGCAGATCCACCAAAATATACGTGGACTGGAGCCACTGCTTCGCCGCTCCAGGTGGCAAATGGTGCATGGTTGAAATTTTCGGTGAATTTCTGACATCCTGAACGGATGGTTTGTGAAGAGATTTTCATCATAAACCATGCACCTTTGCACTGGAGTCTCACCAATGGAGCCGACTTGGAGAATGACGTTGACCGTGTTGAAAAATTGGGTCAACATGATATAACATCATCCACCAAGAACAACATGGATGCTTTGAATTATGTGGGTAAATTAGTGCTAAACAATCAGAAATTTTACGGGTCCATTGATGTCCATAATGACTTGGCCCAGACCCCATTTGTTGATCAAAGCCCTGGTTCTGTTCACAGCAAACTAGCTGGTAGTTGGATGATGTTGGATGTAGCTCCAAAAAATTGAGCCACATTGATGGAACATCACCAGTTTTTCAGATTTTTAAGCCATCCCATTGCATCCCCGAATGATGGATTTTACATGTGGATCCAAGACTTCAGGCTAGCTTCCTTGGGGAATCAGGTGTGCCCTGGCCGTGTGGGATCGGCACTGCTCACGTTTTCAATGCATGCACTTCAATGGGCCGGCAGCGCATTTGTTGTGCTGAACAACAATTGATCACATGATCACCAAGTGAAATAGGACCGGATCCATGAAGCCTATGAAGCCTATGGTTTCTCAAGACTTTGGCTGCACAGTTCCATCCAATGAAGTGCCGGGCTTGTAACGCAGAGCATCTGCCTGCAGTTTGCAAAGAATTGAGCCCCTGTTGCGTGCTGTCAACGTATTTTCGCAGCTGCGAGTGTTTTTTGTGCCTCACCTGCAATTAAGGGCTAGGTTCAATTGCTTTGTTTACAGGGTCGGTACAAAGTTGGCAACATTCTTCCACCAGAAAAACCATTTCCAGATCAAAGTAGTCCAAATGGCTCTGACTCTCAAATGTTCTCACCCAAGAACTCCATTCCAGACTTCAAACTCCTAAACAAAGATAGCAGTGTCAGTGCCGGGAATCCAATTTGGTCGGATTGCCTGACAATTCAGATCCTAGACTTTAACTTCTTTCCTTAGCAGATCTTGGAAAATTCAGGCCTCATCATACTCCTCAAAATATTGACCAAACAAGATGGGTTTGTCTGAAACATCTGTAAAAAACCCACATCGCAGTTTTTTTCCATGTTTTTCCATCATATTTTGCTCATCAAGTCAGCCCGACATCGCCGTTCGGTTCAGATATTCCAGATTGCCACTGAGGTTGAAGAAGAGGTCATGGACAAAAAAAAATCCACCACAGTTCAGGAAGGGTGGCAGCTGGTTGCTTCACTAAAAGGATCTAAAAGGAATGTTGAAATATGGGTATGGGTCAACACCTATTATAACGATATTTGCGGGGAATAACCATCCATTAACCATCTATTTCAAGGTACTTAGAGTACCAGGGTTTTGACTGATACGCATATTTTGATCATCCGCTGATCAATTTATTTTCGATGATGTGAGCCTCAGTTCATTCCCGAAAAGCACAGTGATTTCTTCGTGGTTTCGCTGGCTGCAGAGCGCCTTTCTGGACGTTGGCTGACTGTCAGCAGCGACGGTACAACAATGTACAACATGCCTTGAGATGAGGCAATCCAGGCGATCTTCACAGAAGTTAAGTCCGGATTTTTCTGGAGTTGAACATTAGGAAAACACATAGGAAAAAACACCATAAATTGCCGCCATTTGAGCTGCTTCAAGCTCTTCCCCTTTTTCTTCTTCCATCTTCTTCCCTTACCTTGTCTGACCTGAAGATGTTTTTATTTTACCAATGGGAAATCGACTGCTTGGGGAATCTAAAGAGAATCTCTTTTAAGAGATTCCTTCAGCAAATCCAAGTACGTGCTTTTATATATAACTGTTGATGATTCCTGTTTCTGACTAGAACATCCCAATACCATCACGACCAGTAGCTAGCCCCCCACGTGTCCGGCAGCATCGGCTGACTTCGTGTGTGCCGAGCCTCGAGAATAGGCGACCGCAGCCGGTGCAGTCGCCGGTTGAAAAGTTCTCTAAATTCCGATGCGTCCTCTGGATGCAAACTCTAAGTGCACCACTGCCACGTGCAGGCTGCAGTTGACCTCGCAAATGAATAATAATGAATACACATGAACCAATGTGGTGAATTAGGGGTAAGTCATGTGAGCAGTACCCACAAGTTTGGAATGGGTTGAAATCGATTGAGTTAATTCCCCACGAAGTCAACTGTGGCCGTTACCCACGGGGGCGCAGTGTGCCACACCTGACTTTTTGCATTGGGTCGACGATTCTATAGGTCTTTAAATGGTCAAATATACCATTCTTCAGGGCACATTTGGCCTTGTGCCAAATGCTTTGCCGCTTTGCCGGAAATGAGTAGATGGTTGCAAGCTATGCAAAAAAAATAGAACATGAAGCCTATAATACTACGGTGCGATGATTAACCCGCGCACCTGAGGCAACATGCCTGGATTCATGCCACCTCCGTTGACTGTCGTTTTGCCATCTGAGGGCATAATAACTTATGACTTTTCAAATCTTTTCAATAGGAAAACCAGGAAAACACACATGATTTACCCTCTGGTAATTTAACATAGTTATTGAACATGGCCATAGAAATAGTGAGTTTTCCCATTAAAAATGGTGATTTTCCATAGCTATGTTAGTCATTACCAGAGGGTATATCTGAGGGTTTCGGGATTTTCCAAAGATTCTCATGGCAGGTGGACATGTTTCCGAGCCAGGCCAGGGCAAGGTCATTGCGCCGGATGAGATGGGTCCATAGCATGACCATCCTGCAGGTTCTGATAGATTCCCTGTAAAGTCTGTTTCACCAACTCAAAATCATCTTTTTTTACCATCCTAAAAACCATCTAAAAGCCATCTAACCTCACGAATTTTCGCCAAGAATGATAAGAATGGTCGCTGATGTCTCCAGAATGTTTTTTTGACTTTGGCAGGGAATCTGTTTCTATCCCGTAGGCGGCAACCTGTTATAGCATCCGCTAGATTCGGGGCATGACCATGTGCGAGCCGATGGCGCATGAAGACTGCAGGTGATTTCCTCGTGAACCCAAAAAAGTCCAAAAATATCTATAGAATTTCTACCAAAGATATCTAATGATATCTATAGATATATCTATATATAGATTTCTTGGGAAAACTGCGGATACAACATTGGATTTTGGGGGTTTCCCATGGTTTCCCCTTAAATCTTGAGACAAAGCCATTGGATTTTGATGGTGAGTCACCGCCACTCTGAATCAGCATTGCGGAATGGGATGTGGGTATGCGTCATCAGTTTTTTTTACAAATTAAACCTCCAAGTCAATAGAATTCACTGTAACTAATGTTTAGCACCAAAAAAGACCAGCGTTTTGTGGATCCAAAGAGGTTTGCTTTCTCTCCAAACACTAACGCTACAGCACGCTGTGTTTATGCTCCGCTCACGTAGAGACGTAGAGTTCAGCCAGCAGCACCGACGCGCACGGTGAAGGATCCTTGGAATTTCCGGTGGTGAATGGAGGGAGCTGTGAATGGAGCTATGTGTAAAAACATGAGAAGCCAGTTGGCGCTACGAATTGAGGTTCCCAATCACATGATAACGATATGTTTTCTCAAGGTGTTTGAATTCAAAATACCCGGAAGTCTATGGCCATATCATGCCATATCTATTTGCTGAAGCAGAGCAGACCTGGGAGAGTTCAACATCTTTTCTAGAGAAGTAGGTGAGTCCGAGAAGTACTCGTGAAATACTACGCCAACCCCGTCTCGCCCTCCCACCAAACAATAAACATTTTGAGTACTATAAACTCAAAATCTTACTAAACAAAACTGAAACTTCGATGTGAAAATCAATCAACTTCGTGATTAAATTCCATATAGCATATTGCTAAAAATAGGATTTCCAAGCTTTCCCCTAAAAATGAAATCAACACCTTAAATTAACACACTAAAATTGTCGATTTCAGAACCGATCAAATTCCGGACTAAGATCTATATAAAATATTGAAAGAATTGGATTTCGACGCTTTCCCCTAAAGAAGAATGTCGAAACCCGAATTTAAACCACTTAGATTATCGGTTTCAAAGTCAATCAAATTTCTTGTTAAGACCTACAATATGGCCTAACATCGAATATCCAAGCTTTCCCCTAACAATTTAGAAAAAAAGGGGACCTTAGGAATAAGCACCCGGTTGACTAGTTTTTAATGTTAGGGGGCTGAATAACATTTTTGGATATAGTGGTTTCCTATTGCTTCTCATTTGCCCCAATTCACACACACATATATTTTTTTTTGGTAAAAAAATACACAAACAATTGGGCATGAATGAACCAGATATAGTTTTTCTTTGTTGTTTGGGGTACGTTTGGTCACCAGGAAAAAGGGATGATCGTTTTTTTCCTCGATTCGCGTCCGAGGATGAGCTGAACGACAACGAATGACCCAAAAAAATTCGTCTCTGCTGCTTGGGTGATGGCTGCGGGTTGGAGGATGTTGATCCAGAGCCCCCAGAGGATGTTTCTGAGAATCAAGATAGTCAGACTATGCCAGACTAATTCCATTCCCAGATATATTCGTGGTTTCTAGCATGGTAAACCCCAAACCCCAAGAAATCACTAGAAATGGGTGGCAAGTATTATACCATATCATACCCAAATGCTGGTTGTTTACCGCATTGGGTTTCTCACATTGCTAGGGGACACTGTGCCCCGGGGTTGTACAACGGGCCGCTGTGATCCGGATATCCACTGGCTGCAGGTCCGGGATGCCTGGACGGTCCGTGAAGCGAACAGATACATAGCCACCAACTTTGGGGCACAGCATAAGAAAATCCGTAAGGAATCCACAAGAAATCCCAACAGATCAATAACAGATCCATGTCTCAGTGAGAACTTGAACTCGTACTTCAGCATAGCTTTCGCCATGGTCGACTCTTGGGCAATGGAATCCATGAATATTCAACTGGTCAACATCCATTCGACCGTCGCTCATGGCATTCGATGCTGCTATCTTCGGGAACTACACTTTGAGGACGGCATGCAGACAGTATGGGCCTTCCACATCGAAGCACCTCCCAGTCATTTGGGTGTTGAAAACTCCAACGATGGGGGTTGGGGCATACTCTCATCTCCCAGCTATAGGGAATTTATATATGAATTTATCGGGACAATGAAAATCCACAATAAGTCTATCCAGTAGAAAGGATGTTCACCATTGTTTTCAACACCGAAAGCATGTGGTTATGGGTTTCCCCATTATCTCCCAGGAGATGGTGATTCAGATTTAACTGGGATGTTCAGGATTTTCATCTACGGCTTTTCACCGGTTTCACCATGACTTTTGGTACATTTACATGTGTTGCATTAGTTCCCTGGCCTTCCAGGTGGCCACTGGGCACTGGGGTGTCTCCTGGGGTGTCTCCTTTCACGTCACCCAAGGACATCCATTTCACAGTGCTGGGCTGAAAACAGGGCGATGACGTGGCGTATCGTGGCCTATTTTTTCGCGTGCTGAGATGAAGCCGCTGAGGTTGGGAAGCAAAACCTTCTTCCTGTCTGTCATCCTCACGGCATGGCCTGGGGCCAAAATGTCAAGTTCAGTATTAAATTTATGTATCTTTCAAATCAGCACTGAAGTTCAGCAGAGTGGAGGAGTGGAACATGAAGTCCTAGCAGTCCGACTGCACTTGTTGTTGAGTCAATTCTTGAGTGGAATTGCACATGTGTTGCTTCGAGTCTGACATTTCTGTTCATTTCAGATCCCTGGATTTCGTGCCATGTGCAGCTTCGGCACCGCAGGTGCCCATGGCAGGGAGTTCGTAATCATCCAGATCAATCTCTGCAGAGCATTCTGGTCTTCTTAGGCGGCTGGCATCTTTTTTCATGGTATCATATGGTATCAACATGTATCAACTGCCGGATCAACAGCTCCAATTCACCTAAAAAGCGGTGATAAGAAAAACACCCCAGGGTTGTCTGAAATCAACCTGGTCACTCAGTTTAGGGGTGTCCGTATGTGTCCATGGCCAGTGACGTTCGTTCCATGTCGTTCCATTTTTTGGAGGCCATGTCATCTCCAGGTAGCTTCCTGTCCTTTGCTCTACGCATCGGCTTGCTGGGCTTTGCCTGGAATTCTCAGTCCTCATTTCTCCAAACTGGAGGATATCTATCGAATCTAAAACAAATGTCATGATTCCAAGTTCTGCATGGAGTCATTTGAATGTATTAAAGCATATTAAAACACCCAAGAAGATGCATTGAATTTATTGCTGATACTATTCTGGCCGAGGTGTCTGACAAAACTTGGCAGTTTGGCACCTTTGATGCAGTGTGTCTCAGCAGCAACTGAAGGTCAGTTGGTTCAACCCAAAGCCATCACGGCACTTGCACCAGGTCTTGCGCATTGCTCTTCATGCTGGGAATCAAGGTCTCCGGGAGGGACCAGTGGAAATCCTATGAAATCCCATGAAATCATATGAAATACCAAGAGATTCTTGTTGGATCTTGTTGGTTTGAGGGGTAACTAGGTTATGTAATTCGAAGTGGGGAGTGGATGACATCCGCATTTTTGAACACTGAGAAGTTGCGTTTTTTGTTCGGAAAATGACACCAGGCCCGCATGGATTTGGCCAGTTGTGATGCTCGAGAAGTGAGGCACACTGATCAATTTAGGAGGTCCTCAACGAATCGATCCCCACTGGTGAAATCGGGCGGAAAACCACGGTGAAATGTGGCGGAAAGTACTGGACTTATCATGAAATGCCCAGAGAAAATCATAGAAATATACCAAGCTTTTGTGGGTCCATTGCCATATGATGGTCGTAGCCAGATTATTCCCGCAGACAGGAAAGCCTGACAACATTTTGGGGGTTTATTAACCAGGGGTTCCGCAAGATTTTGAATGATATTCAATGATCATCGTATTTGGTGATTATATCACATGAAGTCACCAAAGTTTGCATGGTTACATACCATCATAGCCATTTTGAGCAGTGACATTCCCATTTTTCCTACCATGTTTTGATCCATTTTGAGTTATAAATCTTCCACATCTTACAGGGGTTGGTAACTGTCCCATTTTGGGAATATTGGACATCACCTTATAGTAGCCATTATAGACCATATACCTAATGGTTGGGTGATGTTCAATGGGGACATTTAATGACCCACATCAAAAAACCAAGCTTTGGATGACTTGAAAAGGCTGAGATTCAATGCTACAAGCCATGGTGCGGATGCAGCTGGTGGGTGTTTGCGCCCAGCCCTGGGATTTCGGTTTCGGAAACAGAACCGGGTTTGGGTGTTGAACGGGGATTTTTTGAGGGATATAAAGAGGACATCATTTGGGGTATAGAAATATAAAATAATGTAAATAATGATATATAATGATAAGTAGATATATACACCCTGGTGCTCCTCGACCTTTAAAACAAAGGTGGTTAGGAATCGACCTTTGTTTGGCTGAAACCACCTTTCTTTGCATGATCAGCCTCCACCACATCTCCGTCGCAGTAGTTTTGGTTGAATTGGGTTCATGATTATCATTTGGTTCATTGAAACACCAATATCGAATGATTAGGGCAGATTCTATTGAAATATCAATGATCAGCTACCTGCGAATTCTTCAGAGAACCAACAACAAGGTTGTAGTCAATAGGACATGTTATCAATCGTTTCTGCCCGGTATTATCTTCCACTTGGCCTGTCGAAGCGTTGCTCTTCCCATGATGGATGTGGTGGGAAAGCGACTGGTGGATCGAAAATTCTGGATGAATGAAGAGAGCTTTAAAGAAACGCCCGGGATCCCAGTGCCACTTGAGTAGTGGAATACTGCGGCCTATTTTCTGGTGGAAATTTCATCTCAATTTAATGCCTGGGTGAGGTTACCTTGAGGCTGTTACTGGCGAAGATGTCATTGACACAGACTTTCTTGGTGCGCCCCATCCCCCTGCTGTTTTGTCACTGCTATGCCTTTTGCTGGAATGACTGGACAGCTTGGTGCATGCCATTGCATTGAATGGCACGGTATGTGTTGATCAAGGGAACCCGCTCCAGCATAGACAGCAGAAAGAATCCAAGTCATTGTCACCAAAGCTTTTGTCACCAAAGTAAGTCAATATTCATGGAATTTCATCAATCAATGGGTTTGTGCATGCACGTGTGTCTTTGGGAGTAGTGCCTGCGATGCCTGTGTCGCCTGCACGTGTTGACCCCACACGCGTGGCTTTGGTGAAGGACCCGTAGAGGTTTAGTGGGACAATGATGGTCATGATGATGGTGGTGCTAGCGATGGTGGCTATGAAGGTGCTGGTGCTGGTGCTGGTGGTGGTGGTGGTGGTGGTGATAGCAATCATTGCATGATGGTGATAAATGACAGTGATGAATGGTGTGATGATGACGATGACAATGATGAAAATGAATATGATGATGTTTTTGTTTGTTCATTATTGTTATTATCAATAATTAATATATGATACATTTTATGTTTCTTATTATTGTGATGATGATGATTATTATTATGGTGATGATGGTGATGTTGCTGATGGTGACGAGGATAATGGTGATGATCCTGATAGTGACTTTGATCATGTCGGTTGTGAACATGAAGATGTTTCTTGCAGATTCTTGGATCTTTTCAATTGTGATGGTGACTATGGCGGTGGTGGTGGTGATGGTGGTGATGAGAATGATGATGGTTATGATTTTATATGATTTTGATAATGATGTTGATGAAAGCGGTGGTGATGACGAACAAATTAATGATGATAACAGTGACCCTGATGGTGTAAATGGTGATGGTGACGGCAATGGTAGAAAACAAAACGATGATGTTGTTGGCGATGACAATTGGGAATTGGCCTCTGCTGGCATGATAGTGGTATTCACTCAACATCACTCAGCCCAATTTAGGATTTTGTTTTGATAACGGCAGGATTGAAGCCTGCAGGAAACCCACAACACCGACAACTAATTTTCTGCAATTGGTAAAACATCGTATTGGTTTGTTTCAGCCCAACACATCTCATTATATCTCACTAGTCGGTGCCAGTGCACTGTAGCCCATCATATGTTCCCTCCTACTTCCCTCTGCTAGGAATTTCTGAAAGACTACTGTGAAGACCAAGCCTTCATTGCTGCGCGAAGGAAAGTCTTGAGGTTGAGGGCAGGACTCACTGACAAAGATAAGAATAAGGTGCATTAAGGGGATGGGTAGGCAGAATTTGTTTCATGAACATAACACTGAAGGGAAAATTGTTTTTACCTTGCTGTCTCAAATGCTTCTATCTCCAAACCCAACCAAATTCACAGCAATGAACGTCTTGGAGCAGGTGCCCAAGTTCAAATTCTTCATACTGGAGGGACAGGACCCCGGAGAACGAGATGTCTCTCTGCCATGTTGGACAATCTTGCAGCACCTTCACCTGAATGTCGATGGATGGTTTCAAGTAAAAAAAATGTTATGACCACCATCCAATCATCACACATCCTGGCATATTACTCTATCATTCTATTGTTTTTGGAAATACTGGGAACTGGAGAAAATTGTTCTCACAAGGTGCTTGTTCCTGAAATTTGTGAACTACAGGCAATCTCCTTTGGCTTTGGAACTGCCGATTGGTTTACCATGTGCCATGACAACTTCCATTGTACACAGGCGGCTCTCTCCTGGGCCTCCGTTACCTACAAGCTCAACCCCTGGGCTGAAGTTCCCAAGCATGAGGTGCCCCTTTTCAAAATCACACAGAGAATGATGTCACAATATTTTGTTAAAGAAAATTTATACGATAAGTTCTGATGTTGTGGATTCATGATTGCGTTGAATATGTGACACTGTAGGATTTTCAGCACATGAAAGGCAAACCCTAATACATAAGTTCTAGTAATAACAATTATTTAATATAATATTGCTTGGTACTGATTGTTTGAGCTGGGCTTGCAGAAGGGAAAAATCTGATTTCCAAAGCATTTGGTGACCGAATCCCAATGCTAGCTGTCACTTTCCAACAGGTATGGGCCGCAGTGGAAGCTGGAGCCTTCTACTCGGTTGGCTCTTACTGCTTGGATCGCTTCAACAGGAATGCTGGCCCCAGGCTAGGCTTGGGACCAGAAAAGTTGCCCATAAATATAGCGATATATAGCGCACAGTGACATGTATGTTTCGGAAAAAAAACACGACATTTAAAAACATCTAAAAACATGTTTCTGTTTCCAACCATTCCTTTGGAAAAACATGGGTTGAATGTCACTGAAGATGTTAAAATCAAAACAAACGAACTCCTGGTCCTATTGTCTCATTGTTTGTCCATGTTTGTCTTTGCTTCACAGCCAGGCCTGGCCACGAGCGATCAAAGCAGCTGAAGGAAGTGATCTACAAGCGTTTGCAGGACAGCAAAGTTTGTGTGTGTGGGTGTGCGAACTGAGTTTTGATATGTGGTATGTATAATATATGCAATGCATGCAATGCATGTATATATGTACATGTATCCTCTGCAGTCCTTTATTCAAGAAACAATTTTGCTTCACCGATACTTTACCATTTTGTTTCTGTGCCTCCATCCTGCCATGCACAATTGCTCACATGTATGATTTAGTTTGAGGATATGGCCCAAGTTGTGTTTGTACCATTTCCTCCTGCCCAATTTTCTTTTGTGACTAGCCCTGCATACCCAGGAGACAGAGAAGCTGACACCCGAAGGGAAAAAGATAGCCACACGGGGACGTGGGATGAGCAAGTCCAAGGCCCAACCTGCTATCAAGCATTTATTAATATTCAAAAATGGTGATGCTGGATGTATGAAAGAGTGCAGGTCCCAGTCTGTTTTGGTTTCTTTGTTTTGTGCTTGTTTTCAAGTACCAAACAGTGCAAAAGAATGCAAAACATGCGATTTAGTTCACATAAACAAAGTCGGTTGTGGCATGGTTAATGAGACTATGAGCTCCCATCAAATCTATCCAACATGGCAGCCAATGTGTGTTTGCACACACATGTATGCATGCATGTATGTGTGCATATGTTATCTATCTTGTGTGACCCCCCTTGTCCGGCCAGGGGAAAAAAATTGATATGCCAGAGAAGGGAGTGAACCCAGACCAGGTAGATACACTGCCTTACAGCCCAGAGGAGAAATTCCAAGATTCTCAGCAGCTGTTTTCACCAGTTCCCCCCATGAAGAGTTTGTCTCCGAGCCCATCCCCTCCGGTCCTGAAAAAGAGTTCTCAGTATTCAATGGTGACTACTTTAGATGCTGAAGATGATGAAACTCATGAGAGAGCTGAGGAGGAAGAACCCACTCAAGATGCATGCGTGTATCCTGGTCATGAGGATACAGTCATAGACATTGAAAGTGATGAGGAATGCCTGATGTCCCCTTCCAAACAACCGAAAACAGACAAGGACATGTGCCCGGAAGGTTCCATGCCGAAACAGAAGAATGTTTGTGCACAAAATACACCCAGCGTGCCACATGAGAAGGAACAGAATGCAAAATCAGGACCAAAGGACATGGACTTGAACAAACCGATGGGTAACCAGAACACCCCTGCCGACACCCAGATTGAGCAAGTGCCAGAAAATTATCCTGGAGGTGACCTTCAAAAAATTGAACGCCAGCTGGGAAGCGACGATGAGATGGGCCAGGGTGCTACCAGACAAGCATTCAAGGTGTGCGTGGGATGGGTGTGTATCTGCATTGATAGCTGCATTTGGGTATTGAATGGGTAGGTCTTTATATAGGCATTTTATGCACAACATGAGTATATATTTGATTCAATGTTCAGTGTTATCGGGTGTGCGAGAGAGGGAGAGAAAGAGACAATGCATGGGCTTGTGTGCACATGTGTGCTGTTTGCTTTTTTGTAGGTAAAACATGCAAATGATGTACCTACCAATTCAATGAAGATATGTATATTATATTATTATATGTATCTTGTCATATCATTGGTGCACCACGGTTTGTCTGAATGATGTATGCATGCCAGGATCCAGAACCTTTGGTGAGTTTGCCGCCAATGCCAGCTGCATTGGAATCAAAAATTAAAGCTGTGCAGGAAGGTCCTGAACAAGAAGAAGAAACTACCCGTGAGATTCTCAAGGCTTCCATGTACACGCCTTGCCAAGCCACCTGATCTTTTCGTATTCGTACATGTTATTCTACATGAAATATGAAAATGTCTGAATGTTAAAACATGCATGCTTGTCACATTGATATTCTATGATTGGTTTCTCTTTTTGGGTAGCTCTGTGCTAA